AGCCTGTGAGGCCGGAATGGCTCTCTCCCTTTCCCTCCTCTACTACGAAAGGTACTGAGCAGGGGGGGGGGTTCTTGATGGGTCTCAACGTTGGGACATCCATGTCAGACTAAGCCGTCTCTGTCCTGGTTGCGTATCTGTACATATTACACGCTCGTAGAGCGGTAGTGTGAGTACGGGTACGTATATCACCTGTACTCGGTAATACCTCACACATCGTGATGCCAATATAACCTGTACGTACGAGCGGTATTATACTCGTACAGAACCGAGGAGCAATATGTGATCTGTACGGAGTAATGTACCTTGGGAAGTGCTTACTATTATATTATCATATCATTATATCATATCTTATATATATACATATATACATACATATATATATTAGCGTACAGACTCCAGCAAAGAGTAATAATAGTGTTAATACTGCCAACTACTAGTACGGATTTACATGTAATACTGCTCCCACCATCCATTGTTGATTGACACTCTCAGTGCGCACTCTTGCTTCCTACCTACAGTAAATAGTAATAAGTATTGACTGTACCCTGTGAGAGAGGAAACGGGGTGCCATGACCCCCGGCCGCGACCATGTCAGAACAGACACCCCCCCCCCCCCCTAATTCATTACAGCCCATAGAACACCTTTCTTCTTTTTTTTTGGTGGTGAATATTTTATATTGGAAATTTTCTTTTTGCTTGTTCCTGCAGCTTCTCTCCCCATTATTACATTATTACTCCGAACGGACCTCAATACACAGTCTACTCTGACATTTGCCCTCTCCCGCGTTCCTCTTTGAGGTCTCTCTCACTCTCTCCGCCACCAGTCCCCTTTCTACCTCATATCCCCCCCCCCCCCTTGTTCCAGCCCACTCACACTCTACGCTACGCTACGCTACGCTACGACTATGCTACGCTGCCGTTTATGTGAATACAATCGGCAATCGCCTCTCTCACTTTCCTTTCTTTCCTTTCTCCCTTTTCCCTTCTCTACGTCGTAACTAACCAATTAATTCTTTTTTTCTTCCTTATTATTACTATTATTCTTTTTTTTATCTCTCTTCTTTGCTCTTTTTGCTCTTTTCTTTTTCTTTTGCTCCCTTTTTGGGCTCCCCCGCCCTGCCCCTTGTTTCTCTCTCGTCGGTCTTGTCGATTGCTTCTTCTCTTACTCCCAATCCGAGAGTTTCTCTTCTTTCCCTCTCTGATTCTCCTCCTTCGTTCCTTCCTCTTCGACGTCAGTGAGGGAGCTGCGCCTTCCTTTTCTCCCCCCTCCCGCTCCTTCCTACTCTGTCAGAGCGCGCCTTCCTTTCTTCGCCTTAGACGGCAAATCAAGCCGTCCAAATCTTCCATCACCACCGGCTTCAGCAATCTTCTCGCCGTCTGACCTGATCCGACTCCGATTCCTGTTTCTGCAACGAACCGAGGCAACATTATAAAAGACTCTGTGGAGCAGAGAGACACATTATCCGACGCCACCACCCAACGACTTTTTTTTTTGTCTCACCCCCACCCCCAAAAGTCTTCGCGCCGTCCCGTCGAGACCGCGACAAACCTTCCTGTGCGACAATTGTTACGCTTGACTTGTTCGACTTTCCCAATCGGGATGATCAGTACACTCATATCTTGACGACCTCTTCCCTCTCTTCATCTCCTTCCTCATCCACTGTCCACCGCGAAAGAAGAGGAAAAAAAAAGTCGAGCATGCAAGCTTCGCTTCCCGATCACTACGATACAACAGACATCTCCCGGCAGTAATAACCAGATTCGATCAGCCCTGCGTTGCGTGCTTCCGAAAGATACGACAACACGAGCAGAACCCACCAGTAGGAGCTTGACGGCTACCGACAGACCTGCGACGCCGCAGACAAATCGAGCCCTCATTCTCTCATATTTCCTGCCACCTCCCGCCTGATCCCAAGCTGGACTTGAAGGCCGTCTAACCGCTATCCTCCCCTCGTCCTTCTGTACGCCCCGCCAGAGCGGCGAGCTATCCTCCCCCCCCTCCGCTCCTAATTTCTCTCCAGCCTGTTGAGCCTCGAATCCCCTTCCTCCATGTTCAATCGCTTTAGCAAGAATCGCGACTACGGTCAAGGCTCCGGCTCCCCACGCTTCACCAACGCCGATTCAGCCTACGAGTCCGCCACCCCCAGTCACCAGGGATTTCCCATCTTCCACGGTCCCTCCGAATACTCGAGCTCTCACTCGTCCCGCCCCGGAAGAGCCTTCTCTCGTCGCGCCGCTCCGATCGCCAACGGTCTCAGGCAATTCGCCTCTTCCGAGAAGTGTACGTCGACCTCCGGCTGGCTACCCCGCCTTTCCCACGACGACGTCTGTGTGTCTGTAACCTGTCTGGCTGACGCTCCCCTGCTTCTAGTAGTCTACCCTGGCCACACCACGTTCGCCAGCAACTCTTCCGCCAGTCTAGGCCAGAGGCTGCCGCGCTCGCAATCGAGAGCCGGTTCTGTAAACTCAAACGTCTCGCTCAGAGGTACCGCCGTGGACAACAACGTCATGGCCACCTCAGCCGATCGGAGCCGAACACGGCGTGAGCGCACCTTTGTCGGTAGCGAATGCGCCGTCTGTGAGGAGCCGCTGGAGCACACCCTCCGTGGAGAGCGCGTCCTCCAATTCTCCTGCGCCCACGTCTGCCACGAGGCCTGCTTCTACGAGTTCATTCGCGAGCTCGACTCGCAGTTCTGCCCCACATGCGACTCGCCTCTGCATCTCGACACGAGCAGGGGCGGCAATGTTATCGACCTCGGTTTGTCATGCCAGAACCACTTTTCGCCCGAGAGGTTGACGACGCCCGAGCACTAACGCGCACACAGAGAAGATAACGAGCATGGTGAGATCCCAGGGCGACACCAGGTCCGTCGGCAGCCCTACGCCTACGCCTGCTGCCGTACCGCCTACGCCCACATGGGACGCCCAGACCGTGCGAGCACCTAGCCTGGAGAGCGGCCCGAGGAGGCAGCCGCAGCCGCAGCCGCAGCCGCAGCAGCACCAGCAGTACCAGCAGCAGCATTACCCCCATCACTACGCTCATTCCAGCTCTCATAGTCGGACGCAGCCGTCCGTCAGCGGCAGAGAGGGCGCCGCACGCGGCAGCGTCCGTGACAGGGACAGGTACGCGCCCTCGGACCTCCAGGGCCCGCGCCACGCCCGCAGTGACAGCGAGGCCACCGGCATGACGGGCGTCACCGGGATGGCGTCGTCGGCCAGCGCCAGCTACCCCGAGACGACCCAGAGCGGCCCCCATCGCCGTCACGACTACGACGTCCAGGCCATGGAGACGACGCCTGGCAGCCCACGATCCATCACCCGGAACCCCATCCCGGCCCCGAGCGTCACCGTCCGCTCCGAGTTTCCCACCCTCAACCGCTCTCGGCAGCAGCAGACCCTGACCTGCCTCGTCACCATCGAGGTCCCAGACAACAAGTGGAGGCCCGACCCCGACGACCTAGGCGCCGGCGCTTCTCATGCCCACCAGTCCGTGGCCTCTGGCTACCAGGATGTCGCCCGCATCGACGATATCGCGAGGTCCGCGTCGCCCGCCCGCAGCGGCTCCAACTTCTTGCCCTACGAGTCGCCGGAGGTGCTCGATGACATGACCGAGAGCCTCCGCGCACGCGTCGACAACTGGCACGGTCTCGACTTCAGCAGGTTCGGCAAGCTGCGCCTGTACGGCACCCTCCGAGTCGGCAAGGACAAGGTCAACTGGCAGGAGCTCGAGTGTTTCCTGTTCGGCGAGATGCTCATCTGCGTAAAGGAGAAGAAGGCGGCCCAGCAGTGGGACGACAACGGCCTCCCCCGCAAGCCTCGCTGCACCCTCAAGGGTTCCATCCTCATCAAGAAGCACCTCAAGGAAGTCACCGAGACGGGCAGCATCGACGAGAACGTCCTGACCCTGGGCCTGTCGGTCGAGGAGCTTCCCAAGTTCCACCTGCGCTTCGAGAACCGCAACCAGCTGAAGCTGTGGCAGCAGGCCCTCCTCGACCTCAACGCCGTCGACACCCTGCCGCTGCGCAGCCCCGACTACGACCGCGACGCCTCCGAGACGGACGAGGAAGCCGAGTGGCAACGCTCGCGCCCCCAGAGGGTCTCGTCGGTCGCCTCGTCCTGGGGCCCTGCCAAGTCGGCCACGACGGCTCCCACCGAGTACACCAGCAACAACCTCTCCAAGGCGGCCCCGCTGCCCAGCTCCATCCACGTCCCCATCGACGTCGTCGTCGTCGTCCCCATCTCGTCGTCCATGCAGGGCGTCAAGATCAACCTGGTCCGCGACGCCCTCCGCTTCATGGTCAACACCCTTGGCGAGCGCGATCGCATGGGTCTCGTCACGTTCGGCTCCGGTGGCGGCGGCGTCCCCATCGTCGGGATGACGACCAAGGCCTGGCCCGGCTGGGCCAACATCCTGGCCTCGATCAAGCCCGTCGGCCAGAAGAGCCACCGCGCCGACGTGGTGGAGGGTGCCAACGTCGCCATGGACCTCCTGATGCAGCGCAAGCACAACAACCCCATCGCCACCATCATGCTCATCAGCGACGCCTCCATGTCGGACGCCGACAGCGTCGACTTCGTCGTCTCCAGGGCCGAGGCCGCCAAGATCACCATCCACTCCTTCGGCCTGGGCATGACGCACAAGCCCGACACCATGATCGAGCTGTCGACGAGGACCAAGGCCTCGTACACGTACGTCAAGGACTGGATGATGCTGAGGGAGTGCCTGGCAGGCTGCCTGGGTTCCATGCAGACCCTGTCGCACCAGAACGTCAAGCTCAAGCTCAAGCTGCCCGAGGGCTCGCCCGCAAAGTTCCACAAGATCAGCGGCGCCCTGCAGATCACCAAGCGCGCCACCGGCCGCGACGCCGAGGCCGCCCTGGGCGATCTCCGTTTCGGCGACAAGAGAGACGTCCTCGTCCAGCTCGTCATCCTCCCCGACAACGTCAACCAGGACCAGCTGCCTCAGGACCCGTGGGATAACATCGTCTCGGGCCTGGAGGCGCTGGGCGGGTCCATGGAGAACGACAATGAGCGCACCGTCTCGGTCGAGGAGGTGCCCCTCATCCAGGCCGACCTCACCTGGGGAGACATACTCCGCGAGGGCACGGCCATGCAGATGCCGCGGCCGTCGCTCCTGGCCATCACCATGCTGCCGCTGGGCATCGGTCAGAAGAAGTCGTGGCAGGCGTCGCCTCCCATCCCGCCCCATCCCAGCATCGTGCAGCGCCGCATGGAGCTCCTCACCTCGGACATGCTCACGAGGGCCCTGACTCTCGTCAGCCGCGGCCAGCACGAGCGTGCCCACACCCTCCTGACCGAGACGCGGTCGATCCTCAAGGGCCTGGGCAAGGGCGGGCTGCCTCCCGTGCCCCCCATGGCCGGCAAGCCACCCGGCACCTCGCCGCACATTGACGGCTCGCCGATCGCGACCGGTACGCCCGACCGCAAGCGCAGCCCGTCGCCGCCGACGTCGTCGTCCCACTCGGGCAACAACCCGGCACCGTCGGGTCGATCCGACGTCGGCGGCCCGGCGACCCTGGGCCTGAGCTCGGGCATCGACGCCAGCACGGTGTCGGCCCTGGACCAGGAGCTGGAGAGCAGCCTGGAGTGGATCAACCACCCCGCCGTCTTCAGCCGCGACAGCCGCAAGGCGGTGCTGCAGGCCATCGGCGTCATCAGCTCTCAGCGGGCGTTTACCTTCCGCACCCCGGTCGAGAGCATCTGGTCCGAGAGGATCACCGGCGTCAAGCGGTTGACCGAGAAGAGCAGGGAGTGGCGTGAGGAAGGGGCCGATGCCGTGGGTATTGTCGAGGAGGCATAATCTTGCCGACTCCAATTCCTCTTCTGCCTCTTTTCCGACCTCTCTCTCTCGTTTTTTTCTTATCCTTTCCTTCTTCTTATTTATTCCACTGTCTTATGATATATTTCTTAACACTTGTCTTAGATGACGAAACTTATCATTGCTCTATGGCGACGACGGCGTTCTTTCATCTCTTCACCTCTCCTCTTATATCCTTCTTTTTTTCCCCTCTTATATTCTCATCTATGTTGAAGTTCTTTCTCAAGCAAAGCACAGTCAGCGTGTCCGAGACGGTGTTTTTTTTCTCTGACTTTTTCGTTCTTGTCCCCCCCCCCATACTCTTTTCTTTTTTCCCTAAAAAAGCCCAGCCATGATACCTCTTTTTTTTCTTTTCTTGCCACTTTTTTTTGGGGTCTGTCTGCTTTTTCGCCTTGTTCTCGTCTCTCGATTCATGTCTGGTGTGTATTGACATGTCCAATAATTCTATTGGATCATGTATTAAAAGAAAAAGAAGAAGAAGAAAAGGGATGGAAAAAAATGCCCAAGTCATGTATATACCAATTTTGGTTTGTTTTTGGGATTTATTCTTGTGTGTGTGTATATTGGATGGGAATGGGATGGCCGGATAGGGAAACGTACCTCGTTTTTTTTCCCTCTTTTTTTTTTCTCTCTTCTTCTGCCTCAAAAAAAAGATATATGTATATACATACATGTATATCGACTTTCAAGTAAATTTCCAAAACTTGGGAGTTGGATCTCATTCATGATTGTTTCCTTTGCAATTCACATCCCCATTTTGAAAAAAAAAACCCGGACAAGGGAATGAATATACGTACTCTACTTGACAAAAAAAAAAGTATGGTTTAAGTGTACACAACTGCACACCGTTACAAAACAGAACAAAAAAAACCCCAAAAGAAGAAGAAAAGACTTTGCAAGGTCGTCTACGGAGCATAATACTGACAAACTGATCCTTCTACTAGTAGCTAGATAGATATACGTTACTCTTGACAACCTGGAATTCTTTTTGACCTTTTTTTTGATTTACATCTTTTTTTTTTTGTATTAGGACTAAGTTTCTGCTCCGACTATTTCCCATATTCCCCCCGTAGAAGAAGAATAAACTATTATTTCTTTTCCCCTTCCTTCTCTCTTCTTTTTTTCCTCTTGTTTTGTTTGTTTCCCTTCTCAATCCGTAGGACATGACAGATGCACAGAATTGTAGGATTGAAGGATTTTTGCAAAGTATAGAGAGAGGGAGAGGGGGTAGAAAAAGACAAGAAGTCGTAGGCGAGAATCTTAGTCCTCATCCCAGTTCTGAAAGGAAGAAGGAAGATTGTCAGTGAGAGTGAAGCGGAGAAAGATGAGAAAGCAATGAAAGAGTAGAAGGACAGAGAGAGAAGAAAAGAAGAGGAAGAAAAGACGAGCAAGGAAATGATTGAGGAGAAGGGAGAGTGGAGGAAAAGAGGATAAGAGCAGAGATTGAAAAGAGAAGAAAAAAAAAACTTACCGGGTTGGGAGCAGGAGGCTTGGGGCCACCCGCCTGCCTAGCGACGATGATCTGATCAACGGAGAGGATCGTGCGGGCGGCCTCGGTGGCGAGCTTGATGGCCCAGTGCTTGGAGACGAGGAGGTCAAGGATTCCTTCCTCCTTGGTGTCGAGGGTGCCAGTCTCATCGTCGTTCTGCGTCCCCGGCGGCGGAGGAGGGGCGATGGTCAGTACAGAACCATGTGACAAGAACAAGAGAAGAAGAGAGAGGAGAGAGAGAGAGAGAGAGAGAGAAACGGGGGGAGTTGTAAACATACATCAATATCGACGCCAGTATCCCAGTCTTCACTCTTGTGATGAGCAGCGTATAACCTGCTCAGGACCTCGGTGGCGTCGAGACCGCAGCTCTCGGCGAGGGTGCGGGGGACGACCTCGAAGGCCTCGGCGTACTTCTTGATGGCGTACTGGGCGATCCCGGGCGTCTTGTCGCCAAAGTCCTGTATCCTCTCGACGAGCTGGGTCTCGGTAGCTCCGGCGCCGGGTACGAGGCGGGCGTCGCGGGTGATGGCCTTGACGACGTTGACGCCGTCATCTACGGCGCGCTCGACGTCGTCGAGGTGGTTCTGGGTGGCGCCGCGGAGGACAAGGGTGGCGGTGCGGGTGACGTCCGTCTCCTGGCGGAAGACGGTGACGCGGTCGCCGCCAATCTCGAGCGTCTCGACCACGTCGATGGAGCCCATCTCGTCGGGCATGGGGGCGCCGAGGCGGGCCAGAGGCGTCGCGCCGACCACGCGGCAGACGCGGCGGAGCTCAAACTTGGACAGGATGCGGATGGCCAGGATGCCGTAGCGGTTGAGGTAGTGGAGGGCGACGTCGCCGATGCGCTCGCCGACGATGACGACGCGGAGGCCCGAGTCGTAGAGCTCCTTGATGGAGGCCTCCAGCTGGGACTCCTCGCCCTTTGTGAAGTCGGTCATCTCCTTGGCGTTGTGCAGGAGCACGGTGCCCTTGGTCTCCGTCTGGCTGTTGTCGATGGGGCAGGTGAAGACGCCGACCTTGGCCTTGGTGGCCTTCTTGACGGAGCCCTCGGGCTCCTTGGGGAAGACCATGCCCTTGACGACGCGGGACTGGTCCAGGCTCCCGCCCATGATCTTGACGACGCGGATGTTGTCGACGTTGAAGTTGGCCGGGTTCTTGGGCAGCACGGCCAGGACGCCCTCGGCCACCAGGCCGGCCAGGAAGTCCTCGTTGCCGTTCTGCTTGCTGGCTACGACGGTGCGGATGGCCTTGCTCAGCTCGTCCTGGTCGCGCAGGTCCTCGACCTTGTCGACCGACAGCTCCTCGAGGGTGTCGAGCGCGAACTTCTGGGCCTTCTCGTAGCCCAGGACGATGTCGGACGTCTTGAGGCCCATGCGCAGCAGCTCCTCGGCCTTGCGCAGCAGCTCGCCGGCCAGGATGATGACCAGGTTGGTGGCGTCGCCCATCTCCGACTCCTGCTGCTGGCTCGCCATGACGATGATCTTGGCGGCCGGGTGCACCACGTCGAGCTCCCGCAGGATGGTGGCGGCATCCGAGGTGAGTATCATCTTTTGCAGGTGGTTGATGATGATCTTGTTGCGGCCGTAGGGGCCGAGCGAGGTCTGGACCGTCGACGAGATGGCGCGGCAGGCCTCGATGTTTCGCAGGACGGCACCATCTTCGGAGTCGTAGCTGAGGGGGGCGTCAGATGTGAGCAATCACCGCAGCCAAGGTGGTGGGCGCGGTCGTGACGGTGACGGTGACGGAGGCGGTGGCCGGCGTGTAAGGGGGCCGAGGAGGGGCACACACCACCACCACACGAGCACACAGCAACACAGCAGGCGCGGGACGGGGAAGATGGGGTGGGAGCTACTCACTTGTTGTAACCTCCCTTGAACAGGCCCGCATTGGGGGCGTTGGGAATATTGAGCGACATTGTCGATGACGATTCCAAGACGCTCTCTCGGATCTCTCTGGCAGCAGGGAGATGGGGGAGAAAGAAGAAGGCCTTGCTACCGTTAAGCCTGAACAGGTCCAGGAGCTTCCTCTGTCGTGTTGCTGGAAAATCTCCTGCTGTGTGGGACGACGGGGGACCCCTCCGGACTTGGTTGATCCGGTCCGACCGACACCGACAGCACCAGGCTACGGCGCTGCGACGCTGCTGTTGATGGCCTGTACGGAGTGAGTGACCTGCTGCCTTGTAGCCTGCATTATTACTGGTGGTGGCCTGTAGGTACGCTGGCCCTCCCAAGTACGTGTACCGATACCACTCCGTACAGCGCCTGTAGTTCTGACGGCGCGCTTCCTTGGTACTGCCCGTATCGATGCTGATCCGTTCAATAGGCTCTCTCCCAGTCGCCGTCCCCCCCTCCAGTCGCATCGCAGGCTGAAGTCGCAGCAGATCTCGTCAGCCCTCGGAACTTGTCTCTTCTCCCCTCGTCTGGTCTCTTGTTCTCTGGTAGTGGTACTCCGTACCTCATCTCGTCTCTCGTCTCCCCTCTCCCGTCTCCCGTCTTCTGCATCTGCCATCCCCCCACGGCAACGCCCCGAGTGATCGGATTGCCCTTATTGTACGGAGAGGCGACCGCCGGCGACAGCAGCTACGACGTTGCCCAGAGACGCATCAACCACCCCGACTGAAGCCACCACGTCTGCAGCGCCTCAGCCGCCCCGTAACCTCTCCCGCCCCAGCGACCCCTTCAGCGCGCTCTCCTTCTCCCTCTCTTCCCGGCCTTCCCAGCCCCAGCCAGACCTGAGAGCTGGTGATTTGAGAAGGAAGAGGACAGGAGAAAAGAGAGTCTCGGCTGTCACGCGTGATAGTTTTAGGAGACCGATCTCGACGCCATGGCGCCCCAGTCCAGTGAGTGGTAGTCACTACAATTCTTCCTCTCCCTTCTCCTCAACTCTCCCGCTCCATCCTTTCACGTCGTCGCCGTCCTCGTCGTCACCGTCATCGCCACGGCGCCCGAGCGCATGATGGCCGGAGCAGAAGCTGACAGCCCACCCCGATCCACCACAGCCGTCCCCCCTCCCCTCCCCCCTTCGGTCGAGGAGGCCTACCGTCGGAAGTGCGTCCAGCTCAAGAACCGCACCAACGAAGTCGAGGAGTCCAATGATGCCGCCCGTCTTCGCCTGTCGCGCATCAAACGCCAGGTCGAGAAGCTGAGGGTCGAAAGGGCCTTTCTCCTAGAGCAGCTCGCCAAGCGCACCAGCACCAATGTCGAAGACTCTGAAGGAAGCCCCAGTCCTCCTCCTACGGTATGCCTTCTCTTTCCTTTCCTCTTCCATTCACCTCCATCTCTCTCTCTCTCGGGATGAAGAGAGCATCCTCCCCGCCTCTATCCCCGTCCTGTGTTGATCTTAATTTTTCTCTCTATTTTCTCAAATAAATAAAAAATATAGCCTCCCGCCAAAATCAACAACTCCTTCTCCGGTGAAGCCGAAGCTAATACCTCCCGAAAGCCCAAGGAGAAGCCCTTGCGCACCAAGCGTGGTCACCGCAAGGCGGATGATCACAACAAGGACGGGGCCGAGGGAGCTGGCGCCGACGCCGCCAACGAACCATCCGAGGCCGACATCGCCAAGGGGGCGTTCGACCTGTTCGCCAAGGCTCGCCGCGCCGATGCTGCAGAAGCCGCCGCCAACGCCGAAGACGACGACAAGACGCAGCCAGACGCCGACGCCGACGCCGACGCCGAGGATAAGCTCGAGCGCGCCTGGAAGGAGCTCGCCGACGCCGACAAGGAAAAGTACATGTCCGACTTCAAGTCTTCGCTGCCCCCTCCACCTCCCCCCAAGAAGGAGGCCGATGAGGGCGAGGCCGATGGCGACAAGAACAGCGACGAGAAGAAGCCTTCCTCCGCCACCCCCACCAGGGACGGCAAGGACAAGTCCACCCCTCGAGAGGATGACGATGACAAGGCCGACAAGGAGAATGGCGACGAGGCCAAGGACGCCGAGAAAGGCAAGCCTGATGGCGAGACCAAGGACAAGGACGACGATGCCGCCGCCGCCAAGCCTGAGCCTCAGGATGAGGATGTTGAGATGACCAGCAACGAGCCCGACCGTCCGACCGAGTCCAAAGACGCCGAGTGAGCCGCCGAGTAAGACCGGAAAGGAGAAGAGAATGCGCGTGATGGGCGTGCTACGTCTCGCCATGTATTGTTGATTTAGTACTGATATCATCCGGTGTTGTCAAACGGGCGTTTTTCTGTTTTTTCTGCTCCTTCTTTTTCTTATCATCTACCGGCGGGGTCTCAAACTGGGTGAAGGGCGGCGGGATGTTCATCTCTTCAGGAGCCTTTTTTTTATAGCTGCAAGGTCAACTGTACAGTGTTTCAATAGAATCAAGGGAATCTAGTCACATTGCGTGTGCGCGCGTACCGTCTGATGGGACTGATGTGCCTCTGCGCATCGCCCAGGACGTTACTATACTACACGTAATAGGTACCATTGATATTGATAGACATGCCGGTCGAAGGGGAGACGTGTTGGGATAAGAGGAGGGAGATGGTATACATGGGTATCGATGCCTCGTTCTGCTGTTTCTCGCAAAAGAAAAAGAAAAAAAGAAAAAAAAAAGAGAGAGAGAGAGAGAGAGAAAGGGGGAGACGTTCGCCCCGGGAAATGTCTATCCACCGCAACATGTATATATATATATGTGTGTGTGTGTATGTGTGTGTGAAGAAGTAGAATAAATACAAATGACGTAATAAGAAATACAAAAGAAGGATCATTCTCCAGCGTACAAGTCAACGACAATGTTGACAAAGGCCACCAAGATTTCCGCCGCGATGAGTACAATCACTTGGTCAGGATGTCAGCACATCAACGTCTAGGTGGTGTGAGAGGGAGCAGAGGGACGAAGACGAGGACAAGGTGAGAGAGACGAGAGAGAGGGAGAGAAGGGAGAGAGGAAGAAGAAGCACTCACCAATCCATTCCAGCTTTTCACCGTGGCCGTGACTGAGCTGATCCTTCAGCACGGCCAGTAGATCGGCAATGACGTCCAGGCGCTCGTTGAGGAGGCCGACACGCTGGTCCATCTCCAGATAGCTCCGGACGGCCTGGTAGACCGGCTCGAGCTGGGGCTCTACCCAGAAGAGCTCGGGGGTGTCGAGGACGGAGCCGTTGAGGTGGATGCTTATGCGGAGGATGAAGAGCTCGCCTATCTGCATGTTGATCTGGGAGCGGCTGAGGTCAATCTTTCCCGTGAGGGCGATTTGCGTCGGTATGTCCTTGCATGTCTCTACTGTTGAGGCGATGAGTTCCTCAAAGAGGGAAGTCTGTTTTATTTTATTTTGTCAGTTAGCCTGTCTGTCTTGTCTGGGAGCAAGGTTCCCATCATATAGACGGGGGTGGTAAGGAAGAGAGAGAGAGGGGAGGGAGAGAGAGGAAATACCTTGACACTCTGAGCCAGAGCATGCGATATAGCCAACTTGATCATGTAATTGTTCTTGTCGCGCAGCGTGATGAAATCATTGTATATACGCGCCTGGTACTCCTTTGTGTAGTAAAAGTTAAAGTGCTCCGTCTCGACGTCGTCGGGCGACAGCTTCTCTAGCTCAAACTTGGAGATCTCCTTGAGGAAGCGCGTCTCCTGCGACTCCGTCATGCCCCAGAGAACCACGACGCCGTAGTCGAACAGAAAGGCCTCGGGCGTGTGCACCGACGTGTCAAAGTCGGGTATGCTCACCGCAATGGCCGAGCCGCCGCCGTCCACGCCGTCCACGCCGTCCACGATACTAGGGCCCAGCAGCTCCCCGCCGTTGAGGGGGCCGACATCGACATCGGCGTTGTCGTCTTCGGCCGGCGCGCCGACCCCTTCTCCTCCCCCTTCTCCTTCTTCTCCCCCCGTCGACTGCTGCTGATCTTGGCTTTTGATGAGGCTCTCGCGAATCTGCTGCTGCTGGCTGTTGTTGTTGTTGTTGTTGTTGTTGTTGTTGTTGTTGTTGTTGTTCTCGTCCACCGAGTCGCCGCCAGTCGAGTGTCTCCTCTCATAGGTCTGGACGGGGTCGGGCCGACGCGGCGCAGCGGTCGAGGTCGAGGTCGAGGTCGAGGTCGAGGTCAAAGTAGAGGATGTGGGCGTGGGTGTGGGTGCGGATGCGCGTGTCGTGAGGGCCGGCTTGGGAACACCACTGCTGCTGACATTGCTGCTGCCGCCGCCGCCGCCGCCGCCACCGCCTCCAATGTTCTTGGTGTACCGGTAAGGGGTGTATATGCACTCGTCGATGAGTTTCGGGTTGGCGTTGCGCGTACGGCCCCTGCCCTTGAGGAAGCGCAGCAGGGCCTCCATATCGTACCGGTTGGCGGTGCAGTAGGCCGTGACGCGCGGCAGCCTGCCGCGGTCGGCCTTGCCCAGCCTGGCGGCGTCCCGGCGGGCGCTGGGGTCCTTGATCCGCGGCAGCTGCGAGTACACGTCCCGGCCGTTTTCTTCGTCGTCGGAGCCGCCGGCCTCGAGCTCCGGGTTGGGCAGGAGCTTGAGCTTCTCCGTCTTCTTGGTGCTGCGTTGCGGGCCGAGCTTGGAGCCCACCAGGGGCAGGGAGCTCGCCGCCGGCAACGTCCCGTGGCTGTTCCTCCTCCTGAGCTTGCTGTTGAAGGCTGACAGGATTGGCTGTGCCCCCGCTGGTGCTGCGCCGGCGACATGGAGATGCTGCTGCTGCTGCTGCTGCTGCTGGGGCAGCGAGCGCGGCGGCGGCAGCTCGTCCGGTTCGATGGTCAACGTTACCGGGTCGTCGCTGAAAGTGACATTCCGACTCGATTTCGATCGGGGAGATATCTCATTGTTGCCTGGTAGTAGAGGCGTCGTCTCACTCATCTTGCCTTGTCGGGCGTCCATGTATTCGTTCTTGGGGGAGGGCGGGATATCCGTCCATCCGATGAAGAACGGAGGGGAAAGAGAGAAGGAATTAGAAAGAAGAGACTGGTTTATTTTATAGCTGCTGGCAATTCGTATGACGAGACGCAATCTCAATGACAATTACTGCCGTACATGTCGCTTGATAATCAGAAAGAAAAGGCAAACAACCCAGCAGAAGAGGAATTGATTTAAATATAAAATAAAGGCCAAAGAGTTCCTCCCCTGTTGAAAAGGGTTCTCTGTTTGGCTTCGGAAGTGAGGGGGGGGGGACGAGATTGAAGAAAGCTGGAGGTCAATAATACTTAGTCCTGGAAATTGAAACGCAAAAACCGGTGACTTTTTAGGCCCATGACGTTTTAGTCTTGGTGCCATAACCGAACCTCGAGATTCGCGGGATTCCTCTTGCGGCAGAGACACACAATTACTGGCGATAGTAGCCATGTGTTTTTTTACTACCTTGCATTTTTTTCTCGGGGGGTTTTTTCTTGGAAGAAAAAAAAGGCCTTTTAGATATATACATCTTCTTTCCCTTCATTCCCAAGATCCACCATACCATCAAACAGTCTATTGCAGCGGGAAATCTTGTCAAGATTGACAGGTTTTTTTTCATAATTCGCGAAGCAAGTAAATAATATATATAGACTCAAGCTTTTGATGACACTCTGGAGCATAACCGCTGAAACACGAAACAAAACAGCGACTCCAAGGCCATATACGGCAATGACAGAAAACCATCACCAAGGTACTTGAATTACTAGCAAACACCGTGTGACTCTCTCAAGCCAATGGTTTCCGTCCGTAGACGTACTTGTACTTGCAGTAGATATGGATGTTCCTGGTGCTACGCAGAACCTTGCGCATCTTCGCGAGAAAGACATGGTACTCCTCGTTGGACCAGTTGAGGATGCGGGTACACAGGAAGAGGGTATACCCCTCCATGTCATTCTCCAGAGTGAGCTGGGTAAAGCGGCCAATCTTGGCGAGTTTCTTGTCTGCCGTCCATGGTCCGACGGGAGCCTTGCGATGGAAGTCAGCACCGCTGTCTGTCTTGCCCGAAACATGTAGACAGATGCACGGAGAGGGGGAAGACGTTACCTTGTAGACCTTTACGTTGACGTCCTCGAAGCCAGCATCCCTGATCCCGGCATCCTGCGTGTCCCCCTCGATGACGGTGAAGCTGTTGCCCAGCCTCTTTTCACCTTCCTCGAAGACTCTGTTCCACGTCTTGATCGTCTCGTTGTCGTCTGCCGTCCCGTCGTCGCAGTAGTATCGCGGATCAAACTCGCCCGACTCGATGTACCCGCCCGGCTTGCAGCACCGAAAGGCCTCGCGGAACAGGGCCGGCCAGTCGCGGATGGCGCCGTTGAGGAAGCGCATGTGGACGAAGTCGAACTCGTTGTCTGGCCATGTCCACGGCTGTGTGGCATCATCGAGCTCAAACTTGACGTTGGGAGGAACCCACTTCGGCTATTGTTTTGTCGTCGTCACGGTCAGGGCAACAGAAAAAAAAATTTTATCTTCGTGGGCAGGGAGGAAGGGGGGACAGCAGCAGCATACCTGCATGGGAGAGAGATCTGTACCAATCACCTCGGTGTTGGGATTCTCGTCGGCGTAATCGCTGAGGGATCGCGGTCAGTACAAGTGGCCGGCTGCACTAGAAACCGAAGAAAAAAAAAAGACTCACATCGCCCAGATTCCTGTTCTTCGTGTTAGTTGCTTGCAGTACGGCTCCGTCATGGAATCCGCGAAACCAACTTACCATCGCCAGATCCGACGTCGAGCACTTTCTGGAACGGCGTGTCAGCTCTCGGTCGATGGCCTGGCTGTGCAGTTCGCCGACTCACCTGGAGGTCATTCCCGAGGGGTGCAAGGTATAGTTTTCCGTCGAGGAGCAACGTCAGGTAGTGGTGGCTGCAAGACGGTCAGAGTCCGCGAAACATGTAAACACCGCCATCATCCTTGCTCACACGATATCTAGCGACTCCGTCTGCCGCTCGTCATTTGGCGTAAAGTACTCGGTATTGTGTCGCTCGCTATGAAAAGTACGGCCATTGATGGTGCGGTACTCCAGGATACTCGAGCTGATCGAGGCAGTCGAGCTTTCCCTTTTTTTCTCATGTACCGTCAGTTCCTTGTGGATGTCAACAGAGGTGGATTCTTCAGTACCTGTCGTCCTCGACGGAGAGGCCCTCGTCGTCTTCGTCGTTGTCCTAAATGAGAATATAACGGGTGAGCTTCGAGACACACACACACACACACACACACGTGTGCCAAAACTGCCTCATCTAGTCGCACCTCTGCCGGGTTGGCGATCAACGCCTCAGGATCGTTGGACATGGTAAATGGGCGGTGATACGAAACGACTGGGATTCCGTCGTCTGCACAGACAATGTGCTGTATACAGAGAATATATGTGAAGCGGGGAGAGCGGGAAGAGGGTGGGGAGAGCGGGAAGGAGGCGGGGAAAGGATGCCTTCCATATGGTGTGTTTGATTAACGGCGACGGATCTTACACATTCCCCGACGGTTGTCTCAACAGATAATCAACTCTATAATCTCCAGTACCTATAGAGACAAGCCTGATACCGAGACAGGGGCAGACCCCCCCCCCCCCCCCCCCNGGGGGGGGACAGCAGCAGCATACCTGCATGGGAGAGAGATCTGTACCAATCACCTCGGTGTTGGGATTCTCGTCGGCGTAATCGCTGAGGGATCGCGGTCAGTACAAGTGGCCGGCTGCACTAGAAACCGAAGAAAAAAAAAAGACTCACATCGCCCAGATTCCTGTTCTTCGTGTTAGTTGCTTGCAGTACGGCTCCGTCATGGAATCCGCGAAACCAACTTACCATCGCCAGATCCGACGTCGAGCACTTTCTGGAACGGCGTGTCAGCTCTCGGTCGATGGCCTGGCTGTGCAGTTCGCCGACTCACCTGGAGGTCATTCCCGAGGGGTGCAAGGTATAGTTTTCCGTCGAGGAGCAACGTCAGGTAGTGGTGGCTGCAAGACGGTCAGAGTCCGCGAAACATGTAAACACCGCCATCATCCTTGCTCACACGATATCTAGCGACTCCGTCTGCCGCTCGTCATTTGGCGTAAAGTACTCGGTATTGTGTCGCTCGCTATGAAAAGTACGGCCATTGATGGTGCGGTACTCCAGGATACTCGAGCTGATCGAGGCAGTCGAGCTTTCCCTTTTTTTCTCATGTACCGTCAGTTCCTTGTGGATGTCAACAGAGGTGGATTCTTCAGTACCTGTCGTCCTCGACGGAGAGGCCCTCGTCGTCTTCGTCGTTGTCCTAAATGAGAATATAACGGGTGAGCTTCGAGACACACACACACACACACACACACGTGTGCCAAAACTGCCTCATCTAGTCGCACCTCTGCCGGGTTGGCGATCAACGCCTCAGGATCGTTGGACATGGTAAATGGGCGGTGATACGAAACGACTGGGATTCCGTCGTCTGCACAGACAATGTGCTGTATACAGAGAATATATGTGAAGCGGGGAGAGCGGGAAGAGGGTGGGGAGAGCGGGAAGGAGGCGGGGAAAGGATGCCTTCCATATGGTGTGTTTGATTAACGGCGACGGATCTTACACATTCCCCGACGGTTGTCTCAACAGATAATCAACTCTATAATCTCCAGTACCTATAGAGACAAGCCTGATACCGAGACAGGGGCAGACCCCCCCCCCCCCCCCCCCGTCCCTGCCCTTACCTATTTCGTAGTGCTACGATTACGAGCAATATTACAAAGAATTTGCGACGTACGAGTACGGTGCGTCTCGGTGGGGCCTCTCGAGAGCTGTCGACAGGGATCATGCACATCTGCGTGAGACGAGGCGTTCACAGAGAGAGAGTGAGAAAAACGGTGGAGGCTACGGGTGGCAGGTGATAAGAGTACGGACAAGCGCACGTTGACTGCAGCGCACACGCCACTCTCGCTATAATATCGATATATGCACATGCATATATATACATAGCCTCCTCTCCCCTCTCGTTCAACCTACCTGTACGATTGTGGACCAGGGGCAGGGGAAGGGCTAGGTTCTAGTTCTGACCTCGCATTGAGAAGGATGGGAGTAGAATAGGAGAGACAAACACTCCAGCTTTGAAAGTTCGTGGTTCGGGAAACACGACTCGTCATAGCTTGTTTTGGGCACCTCGCATGCTATGGTTTTTTGTGAGTTTAATTTGTTTGGGCCACTTATCCATCGGCCTGCTTCTGTGCAGTTATCGTTTACTGTTCACATGGCCAAGCCATAAGCGAGTAGGAATGAATGAAAGAACCATCAATTCCGTTCCTTGTTTTTTTTTTCCATTGCACCAGTCCGGAAAGCAAAGCCGCAGATGATTGCCCAATTTTTTTTGTTTTATTCATGAACCGTCCAGAGAGTTTTAAAAAAGAGATTCCATCACGAATAATCCTTAGACCTCAGCAATCTCCCTCAGACGGCGCAGGGTCGAGCGAGTGGCAGCGGCGGCGGGGGTACTAGGGACAGCACGTTAGCCTTCTTGTATTTTTTTGCCCGTGTGGTCGCTTTGCTGGGAAAGCGCATTGTGGGAGCACAGGAAGAGAAGGCGGGAAAACATACGAGACGGTGTAAGCACCACCGGCGACGGTGCGCTTGCAGCCACGGCAGTCCCAGATACCGACAGCCTGGCGGCGGACGGTAACCTTTCCGCAGAAGGTGCAGGTGTACTTGGCGTGCTGGGTGATTTCCATCTTCTTCACCTGCTTACGCAGGGAGGCACCGTAACTAGAAAGACAGTCAGTTGGGTATGTTCCACCTGGGGAATGATTGCCCCGCCACGGGAAGAAAAAGTCGCCAAAGGGTAATGTCGACTGGTCTCTCGAATTCAGAGTAGAGTTGTTCGTTGCAGAGATGTCGGTCGCCTGCTTGATACGCTGTGCCGCTGACCTCCTTTGGAGATAGGTTTGTCGTCGGTGCGAGGTCTGGTCGGCCATGTGTCATCGAGATCCATTGCTTGCAGCAAGAAATTAATCCGTGGAAATCCTGGGTGCAACGAAGCAAGAGTCGTCGACATATTTCGAGCTGAGCGATTCGTTCCGATTCGAGAGAGACCGAGACAGAAGCACTTTTTGCGACGGGCGAGGGTGGGCAGGTGGTTGGATTGGACGAGATATATCATCTCGAGAGGTTAAGACTTACCGGACGCCATATTTACCGCTGCGGAGAGAGTTAGCAGATGCCCGTGAAGAATGAAGATTTTTGCTTGGGAATTATTTGCGTATACGTACGTCACGCCGACCTTCTTGGTGCGCTTAGACATCTTGACTGATTTGTGTGAAGGTTGTTTGGAGAGGAAAGAAAGGAGGTTGCAGGGACTGAGGTAGGCGTCACCAAAAATGTGTAGCCGGGTTGGAGTTGTGATTTTCCTTAGGGCAAGCACGTGAGTGGGACGTAGGCACAGGAATAATGAGAGCTGGGTTGAAAAAAAAAAAAAAAAAGTAAAAAAGGCCCCAGTGTGTGTGTGTGTGTGCGCTGGGGGGGGAGGCAGGTTGACCCGATATTTTCGCGGCTAGACTTTGAGCGTGGTCACGTGGAGCAGGTACGTACCTGCCTCTCACTCCCGCCACACGGCATGATAGATGGGGCCGCTTCTATTCGTTTCCTCGCTTGACGGGACCCAGCAAAGAGACAGAGTCCTCAATAGTAGCCACGGATGACCAACTCGGTAATAATCATGGGCAAGGAGATGTGTCCCAGAAACTGGAACAGACTGGAAGTACTCGTACATAAGGTGAAGCCCACCAATCCCGAATCCCGATTCCTCACAGAGGGCATGCGCGACATTTGTGATATGCGGCGTAACCACCTCCGAGTGAGGTACCACTACCAATTAATACAAGAAGACGTCGCTGCTCAGCATGGGACATTCATCTCCTACATGTGGGATTCTTCAGTACCAGCAATGAACAATTCGCCCGACAGTTCAACGAAAAGCAACAAAAGGAAACACGGAACCGGATGGATAGTGGCACCGACGGCGACGAACGAGTCTTGGTAATGCATCAAGATAACGGCAGGCACCCCAGGAGGGAGCGAGTTGCGAGCAGTATACAACGGATGGCATCATGATCATAATATCGTGTAAGCTACTAGCCATACGTATCGTATATATACTACTAGGCAATCGCTGGTAGCATCTCGCCCGCAAATCATGGTCTAGTCTCCCATCTTCACTCTAGCTGGTGCATATCATCGTTCAAGCTGATTAGCTTTCAGCGTTAGTAGTGCTGCTTGCTCTCGTATAGCAAGGTGGCAGGCAGTTGACTCCATTCTATCCGCCCCTCGATAGACGACTACTATTGTCACACTACCATGTGAGCAGCTGAGCTCGATTCTTCAACTGCCGCCCGAAGTTCCACACTTGAAACCTTCACCTGCTTGGACGCTGTATTGAAACATATCACAGCACCACACATCATTACGAGAATTGCGTAGCCACCATGGCTTTCAAGAAGCACGCCCAGCAGTACGATCTCGTCGTCCTTGGTGCAACAGGTAGACAATGGCAGCGACAGCGACGTGACCATCTCCTCCACGTTGTGTGTCTCAACCGCTAACACGCCCATGTGGGGGGGGGGAAGGATACACAGGCAAACGGACGTGCGAGCACATCACGGATCGATTCCCCACCGATCTACGATGGGCTGTGGCGGGTCGCTCCGAGTCCAAGCTCCAAGCCGTCATTGACGAGTGCAAGAAGCTCAACCCGAACCGGGTCCAACCAGGTAGATGGAAGCAAATGATCCGTTCCCACTTGAATGAAGTAATCACCCATACAAGTATGGATATGACGGGGGCGACTGACGAGATGTGCGACATGTAGCCATCGAGCTGGCCGACTCGGACAGCGATGCCAGCGTGACGGCCCTGGTCAAGAAGACGTACGTCCTCATCACCGCCGTCGGACCCTACTGCATGTACGGGTCGGGCGTGTTCAGGGCGTGCGCCCAGAACGGCACCCACTACATCGACTGCACCGGCGAGTTCCCCTGGGTGGCCAGAATGATTGAAGAGTACGAAGACGCCGCCAAAGCCAGCGGTGCTCTCATGTTCCCCCAGATGGGCCTCGACTCCGCGCCGTCTGACCTGTGTACATGGGCTCTGGCCAGGCATGTCCGTGAGAAGCTGGGGGCTCAGACACGTGATGTCACGATCGTCTTCCACGACATAAAGTGAGTCATGTCTCTCTCTCTCTCTCTCTCTCTCTCTCTCTCTCTCTCTCTCTCTCTCTCTCTCTCCGCCTTCCTCTCCCTCCTGTCTCTTCCCAGCCTTGCTTACTTGCACCTTTGAAAAGATTCACTCCGTCCGGCGGCAGCCTGGCCACATTGCTCGCCGTGTTCAACCACTTCTCCATCAGAGAGGTCCAGGCAGCGGGCAAGCCCTACGCGCTGTCTCCCGTCCCCCGCAAGCCGGAGGGCGCCCGCCCCCACGAGTCCGTCTTCAACAAGCTGTTTGGTACGCGCACCATCCAGCCCTTTGGCACCGTGACGACGTCCTTCGCCAGCATCACAGATGGCTCCGAGGTCGAGCGCACATGGGGTCTTCTCTCGTCCACGCCCAGCCGTCGGGACGAGTTCTATGGCCCCAACTTCACCTGGGCGCAGTACTTCCGCGCCGAGTCACCGCTGCACGGCTTCTTCATCCACTTGGCACTCGCCCTGGGTACATTCGTCATCGCCTGCATCCCCCCCGCCAGGGAGCTCATCAAGAAGTTCATCTACCAGCCTGGTCAGGGCGCCTCGAAGGAGTCGACAGCCAAGGAACGTGTCGAGTACCGCGGCATCGCCAGCCCGGATAACAACGGCAAGACCAACGACAAGGCCTATTGCACTGCCGTGTACGAGGGAGGTACCTACTACCGTGAGTTGAGAACTGGTCTCTGACGACTCTGCTATATGCTGCTTATCGCTGACACGTTCTCCTCTTCCATCACACAAAGTCACGGGTATGCTGCTTGCAGACGGCGCTCGCACTCTTCTCGAGGAGGATACGGGGCTGCAGGGCGGAATCTACACGCCTGCCTGCCTTGGACAAAGCTACATTGACAGAGTGTCTGACTCGGGATTCAAGTTGGAAGTCAAGACGATCCAGGTTTAGAGGGCATATAGCGCAGAATCACGACTACTGCCCCCCCAGGTAACAACAGCAATTACAGAGCACCTCGGGAGGCTCTGTGAAATTCCCACCCCTCCATGCCTTGAAAGTGCCGGCTATCACGACAGCTGTAGACAGTGGTCAGGACAGTTGGGCCAAAGCGTTCGGTCGGCAAGCTAATGCAACCAGCAATACCGAAGGTCTCTCCTGCTAATTAGCGAATGCTCCCTCTCTCCCCCGAATGCTCCGTGTCGCCATGGATCATGGATCTCGCAGTCGGGCATCTAGAGACCCAGAGGTAGGACACAGAGTGATTAGCCTTGAAGTGAACTCGGCCGTCCCGCTAGTCCTAGGAAACATCTTCTCGGTGCCTGTCTTGTCAGTCGGATCCTGCTCTCTCCTGGTCGGTGCCGTTGCGGCCCAAGGGAAGACCCATGCTGTCTTGTTCTTAGGGCGTCGGCTCGCTGGTCTCGCCGGGGGTAGTCGGGATGACGACATGGTCCTATTGCTCTTGCGCTTGAAATAAGGCTATGGATGGTCAAGGCTGACAATGGAAATGACGAACCTCTGTCATTTTGCTGCCATGCTTCCCTCCGTGACATCCATCATTGTCGCTCTAGTAATGAGTCACAACCCTGGGCGTAGAGCCTCCTTGGATGAGGCTGAGATACTGAAGTGTCATCATGCTTCGTAACACCACGATGTGCACGGCAGAAGAACTTGATTGGTCCCGTGCAAGGCAAGATGACGGCGCCAGCATAGTTGAAGGATGCGCCTCAAAAGCCCAGGAGCAGAAAGGAATCGTCTCCGTTCCTTCTGGTCCTTCTAGTTCCTCTGGTCTTGGCCGACCTCCCCTGTCGTGCTCGTGCAGCGGTATGATATGTACTGATAAGTCTCCCTACTTGGTCTGCCTGTCTTCCTCTCCCCCCTCTGCTTCCTCTGCTTCCGCTGGAACGCTCGCCTAGTCGGTCTCCCTCAATCTCGTTGCTCCTCTGCTTGTTCTTGTCTTCCTTTCTTCATCGTCTCCGTCCTCTACTCGTTGATTCTTCTTCTTACTCTTCTCGTCCTCATCGACGCCGTCATCATCCTCCTTCCACCTCCCACTTTCTCGCTGCTGCTGGAGAAGAAGGAGGATGCAGTTCAGGGCAGTATGACTCCCGGATTAGCAATGGAGGGCATGTGTTCTGCTTAGGTGAGAACGAGCCGGGAAGGAGTGATATCCCAGATGTGCTTAGGGCTGTTCCCATTGTTCACATTCTAGTACGGTTGCGGCTACGGCTACGGCTACGGCTACGGCTACGGCCGCTACTGCGAGTACTAGGTAAGATAGCGTTTCGGTAAAAGGAAGTGAGCGCGCTCTGCTCTTGCCTTTTATCCCGGCGTCGGAAATAATAAGACAGACAGTGAAATAGACAAGGAAGGAAATCTATTTAACATTTAACAAGGCAAGAGGGACGGGGAATATTGGACATCGAGGTCCCTTGATGGTATCCTTGGCAGGCAAGGAGTCCGGTAGTAATCTGTAGTGGTGAGGGTATCACCATGTGCGTCACCTCCACCCACTACTACTCCGTAGTGCTAGGAGGTATCACAGCGTCCCTGCTATTTGCGGTGAATCGCCTGTGTCACTCCTTCCCTGGCTGACTGAAGCGCCTGTGCGGGTCCATTTGATCAGTCGTCATTGCCTCCAATCTGTCGTCGACTTGTTGTCCCTGTTCTCTTGGGAATTTCCACTCAATTTCGGCGGCACCACCCGGGGCCTGCATATCGTTATGACATTATCCCCTTTTTGGGGTCTGGCTGTAGTGGTACTCGTGAAACTGTGAGCTGGTGGTCGATGATTACATCCACGTACGTATCGTACGTCTACTCGTACAGGACAACGACGAGTGAGCCGGCCCGTGAATAAAAGAAAAAGAAAAAAAGAGAGAGGATAAAAGAGGATGGGTGTTGCTGCTGCTAGCAGTGCTAAATCATGGTGATGGAATTACCACACTACACACGTATTATTACGTCCTCTACACTAGCGACACGGCGCCTCACTCTCACTCTCGGTACGAAACGTAGTTGGACTTTACTAGTACGAGTTCAGTCAGCACGAGCATGCAGAGACGATTCAGGATGTGGCGACCGTGATTGGTCGAGCCCCGCCAATATGTACCCACTTGAGCCAGGACACGGTCCCCTGTGACCTGAACTGGCGTCTCTTTTTGACTCTCTAAAACTCTCCCTCCTCCACCCTCTCCCGCCATCCGCCTTCTTCTGCTCCCATAATCTTCCCCCGTCTGGAGTACCTTCTTTCCCAGCTACAGCACCTGTACAGCGCTGTAATCACCTGAACTACCCAACTCTCTGCCACCGCCCACTCCCGCCCGGGCCTTTCTCCCCCTCCCCCCAAAAATCCAGTCTAGCGCCCACCAACAGGCCGCTGGCAGCACCGCCTTGGGATCACACTCCATCTCCCGCTCTCACTCTCTCTGCCTTTTGGTGCACGCTCTCCCATATTACAGCACTCCCACCACCCGCCGCCCACAGCGCAATCGTCACTGGCAATCACCGTGCACTTCGTCGTCACTTCTTCCGGTCGGCCAGACCAACTCTTCTTGCCATCATTTTACATGTTGCCATCAACATCTCCTCTTCGTCATTGGAATCGGCATCATGTCTGAGCCGGAACAGTGCATCATATGCCTGGACTCGCTCCTCCTTCCACGAAACTTGCACGTCGCCGCTGCTTCCACTACACCGGGGCCTGACGCTGCTGCTGCCCTCTCACCAGCAGCGCCCGCCACCACCACCAACGGCCACGGCCACAGCGAACAAAACGACGGGGTCAACGGCGACGACGACGACGACAGCAACAACGACAGCGACGTAAACGGTCCAAACCCCCTCTCAAGCAACGGAAACGATACCGAAAATTGCAAAGCCGATCATCAGGTTCACAGTCATCCAAATTCGACCCCGAACCATCTCTCCATCGTCGCTGCCCTCGATGGCTGTAATCACATAATTCACGATGCATGCATCCGCTCTTGGGCCCAGAAGACAAACACCTGCCCCATCTGTCGCAACACATTTCACACCGTACGAGTCTTCAATGGCGTAGATGGTAAGTCTCAAGGCAGCCCCTCCCCTCTCCTGACCCAGAAATCCTGTTTCCCTTTTATTAGCCACGCCTCTAGACCGGGACTACATCGTGACAGAGTAGACTGACACATTGGCCAACGCAGACACCACGATCTCTACCTACACCGTCCAAGACAGAAAACAGGTCGCCGAGTTCGACCTCCAGCAGTGGCTCGGCGAGAATGATAATGCTGAAGAGGAGACCGAGCAGAGCCGCCCCTGCCCCATCTGCGAATCGGCCGAGAGGGAGGATGTCCTGCTGTTGTGTGACAGCTGCGACGCCGCCTACCACACACACTGCATCGGTCTTGATGGCATCCCCGACGGCGACTGGTACTGTATGGAGTGCCGCCACCTCTTCCAGCTTGCCGACGAGGACGATCCCTCGCCCAGCGCTCCCCAACACCGGGATCCCCCCCGGTCGGCCCGGACCCGCAACGTCTCGCGCCCCAACCCAAGAGACGTGCGCGGCTTTCACGTCCGCACCCGTGCGCGCCTGAGGAGGGCACGCCAGCAGGCCCGCAACGTCGAGTGGCAGGGTGCCTGGGGCCAGTTCGCCGGTCGCTTCTACGATCTGAGCGAACTCGACCTCGACAATCAGGACGAGGAAGACGAAGAGCTCGAGCAGTTCCGTCGCTTCCAGCAGCTGGACCGCAGGGAGCTTCATCGCTGGCAGCAGCGCATGGACATTGCCAACCGCCTCGGCGCGCGCGACGCCTTTGCCAACAACATCCCACCCCAGATTACAGAGCACCTACACCCGCCTCCGCCTGTTGAGGAGACAGTCGACGAGAGGCGTGCGTGGGGCGCATTCGAGCGCGCTCGCGACACCGAAGATGCCACCACCTCGAATAGCAGGAAACGCAAGGCCAGATCCGTCACAGCTTCGCCGGCCGAACCACCACAGGAGCCCGAGCGGAAGCTGAAGCGCCCCCGTACCAGGCGGTTACCCATGCAGCAGGGGGAGGCGTCGGGTTCGACCTCGTCACCAGTGACGACGTCAGTCACGGCAGCCCCGACATCCTCGGCGGCGGGGCTCTCGACGGCGGCGGCCTGGACTGACGGCAACTCAACCGCTGTGGGAAGTGGTGAAGCAGCAGCAGCAGCAGCAGCAGCAGGGCGCAGCATCAACGAACCCGCCCTGGTGTCGTCTCTTCTCAAGGAGCTCGAGCCCCAGGCCCCCTCAGAAGATGAGACCGGGGCCACGTCGGCGGCCGCCAGGCGGGCGACAATACCAGACGCCTCATCTCCGGTACTGTCGCCCTCTCCATCGAACCACAGCAGCCCTCGGGCCATGTCCATGACGCCACCACCTCTGCTATTAGGCAACGAGCGGCCAACGTCACCGACCCTGTCGCTCAGCACGCACATCGAGCCGAGATACCCGCCTGCCAACTACTCGCCCAACCGGAACAGTTGCGGCGGCAGCGGCAGCAGCAGAACCGGCAACGGAACCGGAAACGCCAGCGGCAGCGGAAGCGGGAGCGACCACAGCGACTCGGAGAATCGGCCCAGCCGCAGGAGGAGCCGGAACCTGGAGCTGCGGCAACCGCGACCGCGTCGTGGCGCCCATCCTATAATGACGCGGATCCAGGATAACTCACCGAACCGATCAACCGTCATGACTCAAGAAGAGAAGAAGAAGATCAACGACATTGTCAAGTCGGCGCTTCGGCCGCACTGGCGAGCCCAGAAACTGACGTCGGAGCAATATGCCACCATCAACCGCGACATATCGCGCAAACTCTACGAAGAGGTGACGAACGCGAACGCGCTCAACGACGATGCGAAGCGGTCGTGGGAGCACAGGGTCACCCAAGAGGTTGCCCAGGCCGTAGCAGGGCTGTCGGTTTGAACATGGGATGTCCCCCTCTCCCTCCGCGACGAACGGGCGGTCCGCAGGCGTGTTCCGAAACGGCAACAACTCATTCCCTCTTTCGACGGCGGCGACAAGCGGCGGCGGTGGAGGCAGCCTTGCACGGATTCATGATACCCAGAGCAGCATTATGAGCGGGTTCGGAACGGAGTATTCTTGTGTTTTTCTTTTCTTGTCCTTTTCTTGGTTATATTCCCCTCATACACAAACCATCAACTTTTTTTTGTTATTCTGCTTTGATTTGTGCATCGGAGTTGTTTCTGTGTCGGTATAGGAGTTGGGAAGGAATAAAGCACGGGTATAATATCGGGCAGGGGATTCAGCCAGCGTCAAAGCTTTCACATTTGTGTTATTTCGGAGGAGCGGCTTGGCTCGCAACGAGAGGGCGCCATTTTGGGTTTGATCTTGTACCCAGGTAGGGCAGGGGATGATGGTATACGGAATGTGAATATATCGAATGGCCCCCCCGGCAACATGATTTAGACGGTCGGGCCGGACACTTTTAAGTGGTTCTTTTTACTCGTGCTCGTGCTCGTACTCTGAGTGATCAAGAGGTGAAAACCAGAGGTGCATGCGAACAGTCGTACACCTATATTACTGTGTGTGGATTGATTAACACAAACACACAAAAGCAACCGAGGCAAGAAAAGAAAAGAAAAAACAGCAAAACAAATGAGATGGAATGAGAAGGATGTCAGCAGTATCTATCTAACAGGACCCGGTGAGACGGTGCAGGCTCCGCTAGCGAAAAAAGACTGCAATAAGTCACTCTCGGCACTCGTAAATGATCAGGACGTTCTGGAGGTAGAAACAGGTCTTGACGATAAGGAAAGGGTGCCTTGGTGAGAAGAAGAAGAAGAAGAGAAACGAGAGGAGGGAAGAGAAAAGAAAGGTTTTGTGTGCGTGCGTATGTGGGTGAGACATGATTGGAGAAAATCGTGCCTGAGGCATGACGAGGAAAAGATGTGTCAGCAGATTTGGGTCGATGTCCATTGTAAATTGTAATATTATGGGTCAGTACTTAGTACCTCTGTACCTTTTTTTTTTTGGATTTGCAGGGGAAAAGGTTCGAGACGCGAAGACCAGCAGGTTCCTTTTCCTTCCCAGTCAGACCTCCCCAAGTGTCAGCCACGGGAACACAGCACATGATGATGAAGGTGTCAAGCAAAGGAGGACGGGTCCTCCAAGGGACGATTTTCTGTCAGTTTTTCTCTTCTCAGAGGTTTTCCTCTTTCTTCTTTTTTTTCGTGTCGATTCAAATTCCCGACTTAGTGGAGAGGAGGGGGGAGGTCAAAAACTGACAAGGAAGCAGCATCAAGATGCCATCGATGCGCGGCAGCCTCCTACTCTACAGTGACGGCGACGACGACACCAGCCGAGGCACCGGCCAGCGCCTCTGCACCCTACGACATCCGGTCCGGACTGATCCTGACGCGTCCCCCAATCATCACGCCGCGCCAACACCCCTTCGAGTCGGCCTTCTACTTCTACCAGAAGCGGCTGGAGGAGCGGCTGAACAGCCCCTTCATCCCGAGCATCTACTTCAAACCCGACACGCCGCGCCGGATGGAGTGGGACCTCAAGATCCGCGAGCGCGAGGGCTCCGTGGCCAAGGAGCTGGGCGTCTACCACGGCAAGGGGTCGACGGCGTGGCAGGACGAGCTCAAGGTGGGCGACGACCTGAGCTCCCCGGACAGCATGCTGTCCAGCCTGCTCAGGGACGCAGAGGTGCGCGTCAGCGAGGACGCGGAGGTCATCCCGGCCGAGGACGTCACCCCCGTCGAGCTACCCGCCTCCAGGGAGACAGAGGCCGATCGGAAGAACGACGTGCGCAGGCTGGACCGCAAGCTCGACAGAACTCTCTATCTCGTCGTCAAGGGGCCGGACGGCAACTGGGCCTTTCCCGCCGACGTCGTTCCTGCTGGGGAGAATCTTCACGAGGTTCGTTGTCTCATATATACATCTCCCTCCATCTCCCTCTCCCTCTTTCTTTCTTTCTTTTGAATCATCGTCTCCTTATTTTGTCCCCTGTACTCCTGATCGAATCATATGCTACCGTTTTCTGTATGGAAATTAATAATGACGATGGAAATAGTGCGCCCAACGTGTCATCGATCAGGCCGCCGGTGTCAATATGAATACCTGGATCGTCGGCCGCGTCCCGGTCGCCCACGTCATCGACCAGACTGCCGCCTCCGCAAAGGATGGCAAGATCCAGAAGACCTTCCTCCTCAAGGGTCGCATCATGGCCGGCCAGGCAAACATCAAGGGCAACCCCTTTGGATACACTGATTTCCAGTGGTTGACCAGGGAGGAGCTCGAGAAGGAGCTTCCCCCTGCTTACTTCAAGGGTGTGCGCAACATGATGTCTGATCGATAGGTCAGCCCGCATGGGAGCCGAAGAAGAGAAGAGCGAGTTGTGGCTGTCAAGACCACCTGTACAATTATATATTCACGTCACCTGTAATACAAACCTTTTTTTGTATAGCAAATGTTGCTGTCGTTTTTTTCTACCCGTCCTTTCTTCATTGTGTTCCATTCATTTTACCATGACTCTTTTCACTCCTGCCTTGACTCTTTCTTCTTCACTTGCCCAACATTCACGTAGATGCCGATCATGTACATCAGTTCATTCCGTCATACGCGCATGTATAGATAAGAGGTATTGATACCTGCCCATCCTTCCTCCACGTCAAGTCAAGTACTGAAAGTGGTCAATTGACATGTCCATCCACCATTTCTCGCGCTCGTCAACGCCCAAAACTCCTTCAGCGGATTGAGAGGGAAAAGAGAGAAGAAGAAGAAAAATACATAATCCCCCTCCCTGATGCTGGGGTGGAAGGAACTGCTTGATACACACATGAAGAGGGACCAGAAAAGAATAGATATAAGGAATATAGACAGCATTACCGATAATAGCATCGGAGGGAACAAGAGCGAAGAGAGAGAGAAAAGGAGATGAGAGAGATAAAAAGAGATTTGTCTAAGCAGGTTTGGCCTGTCCCTCAACAAACTCGAGAGCGTCCTCCGTGCTGACACAGTCGATGGAGGAAGTCTTGTTACGGAATGTCACGCCATAGCTCTTATCGGCGACAAGCACAATTTCCGGACGGAAGGTGGTGCAGATGAATTGGGTGCCGATCTCGTTCGAGATGGACTGGAGCAGTGACGCGACGGCCGTACGGTACTGCGCGTCCAGGTTGGCGTCCACCTCGTCAAAGATGACCATGGGAGACGACTCGGTGGCCTGGAGGGCGAAGATGAGGCACAGGGCGCACAGACTCTTCTGCCCGCCGCTGAGCTGCTGGATGCGCTGCTGCTCGTCCAGCTCCTTGGAATTGAACGAGACGCTGATGCCCACGCCGATGTAGTTCTCCACGCTGCCGCGGGCCGCCTCGTCTTCGGACTCGTCCGGCGGCGGCTGGGGCTGACGGCCCCGGTCCGCACGCCGCTGGATCACCAGCCGCCCGTGTCCCGCGGGAACGAGCTTGCCGAATATGGTCGAGAACTCGCGCGACACCTGCTTGAAAGTGCGTTCGATGGCCTCATCCTTGCGTCGGTCCAGGTGCTCCACCAGCTCCTCAATGGATCCTTGCGACTCGTCCAGCTCCTTGCGTCGCTTCATCAGCTGGTCCTGCTGCGTCGTGAAGCTGTTGTACTGCTCAAACGCCTTCTTGTTGACGTGCTTGTACTTCTTCAGGGCCTCGTTTACCTTCTTGAGGCGGGCGTTGATCTGTTTTTTTTTGGGGGGGAGGGGGTCAGATTTTGGCTCCGGGGGCGGGAGGTACGCATGATGGGGAGTTCTTCATGAGGGCAGGGATATAAAGGGGAAAACGTACAGTCTTGGTCTCCATGTTCTCATACTTGTCAAACGCCTCCTCGGGCAGCACGCCAAGATCGCGAATGTTCTTGGCACACTCGGCCAGCTGATTCATGAGGATGCTCTTCTTGGCAAGACTCTTCTCGACGCGCTTCTGCTGCTTCTCGATGCGCGCCGAGATCTCAGCCTGCGCCTGTTCGCGATTCGCCTTGTCGGATGTCAGCTCGTTGATGCGAGAGTTGACCTGCTCGGCCTTGGCCTCGATCTCGGCGAGGTCGGCGTCGACCGAGTTGGACGCCCGCTGCGCCTTGGCCAGTTCGCGGCGCACATCTGTGAGACCCTCCGACGTCGTTCCTGAGGCGGAGTCCTCAAACACCTGCCCGTTGAGCTGGTCGAGCTTGAGTTGTAGGTTCTGACGGAGGTCAGCCTCGAGGATCTGCTTGCGACTCTCGAGTCGGCGCCGGGCCACGCTGGCCTCGTTCCACTGCTTCTGCAGCTGCTGCGTCAGCGAGCTGAGCTCCTCGAGCTGCTGCTCCTCCTCGGCCGTCAGGCTCTTCTTGAAGTCGGTCTGCAGCTCGGCATTGAGCGCCTCGCGGTCCTCTATGAAGCCGCTGACGTTCTTGTCTACCGTGTCACGGCGCCGGACGGCCGCGTCCAGGTGCGCCCGCTCGTTTTCGAGGTGCGACACCAGGCTGCGCAGCTGGTGCGCCGCAGGCTCGAACCCGTCGTCAGCCTGGCGCAGCTTCTGCTCCGCCTTCTGCAGCTCCGACATGGCACCCGTGATCTCCTGGTCCTTGGCCTCAATCTGCCGACGGATGTCGCGCGACCGAGAGACCAGCTGGTCGAACTCGTCCCTCCACTTGTTGGCCGCGCGCACGGCGTTGATGCGCGACTTTTGCGGGTCGATCCAACCACCGCTCAGCGCTCCGCGCTTGTTAGTGGTGTCTCCCTCGGGCGTGATGCTGTCGACGCCGTGGCTGCGCGAGTACTGCCCCGCCACCGTCAGGTTGGGACACACGACCGTGTTGCCAAAGATTCGCTGGAAGGCCTTTTCAAACATGGGCTCGTATTGTATCTTGCTCAGCAGCGGCACGGCGTCGTGCGCCTTGGGCACGTTGGACTGGCGCGTGCGGAGGCGAGATAGGGGCAGACACGTCACACGTCCACCGTGCTGCCTCTGCAACGTGTTTAGAAGCTTGGTCGCCGTATCCTCGTTGTCGACGACGTAGTTGAACAGACGGGCACCGGCCGTCTGCTCCACCGCAACCCTGTAGGCGTCGTTGACCTCGAGAAGATCGGCTACCGTTCCATACGTGCCGGGAATATCCTGTTCCTGCTTAAGGCGGCGGATGGTGGCCAGACCACGGGCGACCTCGCGGTCCATGGTGTAGCGGAGCTCCTTCTCAGCCGTCTCCTTCTCCTGGCGGGCACCCGATATATGCGAGTTGAGCTTCTCGTCCTCTCGGCGGAGAAGCTTTCGCTCGTCGTTGAGCCTGTCTAGCTTGTCGCGGGCCTCGGTCGCTTCCGCCACCAGGTTCGACCTGTCACCCTTCCAGTTGGCAAGCCGTGCTCGAAGACTGGCGACATCCTCCTCGGCCTGGGCGATGGCCGCCTCGACACGGGAAACCTCTTCGTCGGTATCGATCTTGTTGGCCTGCTGGGTCTCGATGGTCTTTGACAGCTCCTGGATCTCTTTACGGAGGTAGGCGTCACGTTCCTCCTTATTCCTGAAGCGCGAGCCGCGGCTCTGCTTGGCAAACAGGCGGGATCGTGTCGCCTCAGCAGAGTCCAGCCTTCTCCTGGCCTCGTCTGCCTCGGCCTTCCTCGCGTTGTAGTCGGGGATGATGGCCGAGAGCTCGGTCTCTTTGGCGGCAATCTCTGCCTTGACCGACTCGAGCTCGGCCGTCTGCTGAGCACGGGCCTGTTCACGAGTCGACCGGCCATCCTCGAGGTTCTTGGTACGCAGCTCAATCTTGGCCAGATCCTTGGCGCATTCACGGCGGTCCTCCTCGAGCTGGCGGCGATCAATCTGGAGCAGCTCCATCTCGCGCCGCAGCTTGTGGATCTCGGTGTCGATCTGAGCAATGGCCTTCTTACTTGCGACAAGGTCCGAACGGCTGGAATCCGTCGTATCAAGACCATCCTGACGGGCGTTGTCGATGTCTTCGAGGGTCTCCTGTATCGTCACCTGCTCGCGGTAGTGGTAGGCGTACTCGAGGCAGCGCCTCTCGCGGTCTTTTTGCTGGTAGCCGCGCAGCTCCTCCTTCTCCTCCTCGAGCTCGGCGAGACGTTCCTTGATGTACTCGAGCAGCTCATCAATCTTCTCACGTTTGTTGTTGGTCTCGGACATGATCTTGAGTGACTCGGCCCTGCGAGCCTCGTACACCTGGGTTCCGGCCACCTCTTTGAGTAGGTTGAGTCTGTCCGACTCCTTCATATTGGTCAGGGCGGTGACGCGACCCTGGGGCACAATGTAATAAGGGTTCGAGCGCGAGAAGCCGGCCGCCTCGAGCAGGTTCATGACGTCGCTCTTTGTCACGACCTTGCGATCGACCGAGTACTCGTCCTTTTTCAGGCCGATGGTTCGTCGCAGGACCACCTCCTTGTTGCCGGTGGGAAAACGGTCATCGCTGTTGTCGAAGATGACCTCGACGTAGGCCGACATGACGGCGGAGCCGGAACCTTCGTGGAGGAGACCCTGGCGCTCCTCCCGGCTCATCTGCGTGTAGGCATCGCTGAGGACGAAGCGAATAGCGCCAAAGAAGTTACTCTTGCCGGAGCCGTTGCGACCGACAATGACGTTTGTCTTTGGTGAGAAAGGCTCGATGACTGTCTGATCCTTGTAGCTGCATGCGTAAGGGCCTTGGTCAGCCGAGTGTCTGAAAGGGTGATCTGATAGCGGGGAGGGAAGAAGCAGGCAAGGCATCCATCTCACGCGCGTTGGCCGTGCGACTGGAGGGAAGGAGAGGATGGGCGGAGAAACATACCTTTTAAAGCCCTGTATAATGATTTGTTTGATATACATGATCGACTGCGCTGGCGCCGGCGCGCAACATGCGAGCTGACTGTGGAAGATTGTCTGCGCTCACGGACGGTCTGGGGTGGGTGCTGGCGTGGGGTTGTTAAACGAAGAGGAGCAACGAGGCGCGTCTTGGACGTACCCGCGATTAAAGCGCCAGGTGGTGGGCTGCTGCTGCTCGCTGGCTGTGAGGCGCGTCGTCCTGTTTGAGTGGCTCCCCAGGGAATAATGACCTTCTGCCTGAGGATGACAAAAATGCACGTGCCATATTTGGGATTCTGACAAGTTTGAAACACCAGCTGTTGCCAATTTCCAGCCTACCCTGGGCTGGATGGCACAGAGAAAATGCATGGTCAAGTGCAGCGGTTTCGCAGTGGTTTTAATAGATGAAGATGATCCCTCTTCTCATGCGCTTCCAGTGATGTGTAATATATTTCGATGGATTGGATCACGGACTTGCTTTACCGCTAGAAGGGGTAATCAAGCTGGTCGTAGTATAGTATGTCGAGTTGAATCTACGATACTCAGTAGTAGGGCTGCAGCAAATTGTGCTTTGATCTATCTGCATTGTCGGACTTCATACAGGCTTGTCACATATCCGGAATTTATATTTCACTCAGTGCTCCTCCTCACGCGTGAATAGTCTTGAGACTATGTCGGTAGCTGTCACGCTCCTCTGTCATCAGGCTCCATTGTCCAGCCCGAACTCATGATAGCATCGACGTCAACGTCACAAGTTGGTACGAGTAGAGTTTGATACGCCATTCCCCATGTAAATTAGTCAGTGGTCCGTCCGCTCTGCACTAGCGTTGTATGAGCAATCTGCCAATCTCTGTCCGTGGGCCGCATCGACATACGGGAGCTTGCCCTGATACCCTGTATGTACTCTGTACGCGTAGCTGCCATTACAATAAACAGACCGTGCAAGTAGCATTATGATGTCGCAAGTATCTTCATTATCGTACGGAGCACTCGGGTCGCAAAGCAGGGTCCGATCCCGCCAAGTTGCTGGGGTGCCATTACGGCGTACATATACAGGTACAGGTACAGCGTGGATTGTAATATTACCTTGGAGAACCAAGGTCTGCGCACCACAGCCACCAACAGTCAACAAGGCAAGGAACAAAGGCAAAGGCGCGGAGAAGTGCAATGGAAGGAAAGGCGTAACCAACGTGAGATCAAGATCCGCTTCGTTGCCCAACCTTGTTGAAAGGGAGTAGATTGTCTCTGGACCCCCTAGCATCAATAGAAATATTACGGGGAAGGCCACCTGTTTTCTTCTTCCTCTTCTTTGTTGCCCCAGGCTCCAAGAAGTCCGAGAGGGAGAGGGAGAGAGAAAGGGAGAGGCACAGAACAAGATAATCCAAGTCGTCGCTGATGGAATGGCGCGCGTCATATGTACTTGTGCCTGTACATGGTACTCAGTATTAGAGCCATCGCCATTCTTCCTCAGCCGTGGCTAAAACCATCATCTTCACAATGACGTCCATCTTTTTGGTTTTCTTTATTGTTGCCTTTTGTGTGCCCAGAATAGGCACAGCGAGCAATCGGCCATGGTTTTCATTACTCGTACGCGTAGTGGCCGGTACCCGAGCAAACATTTCTGCGATAGCGTTGCCGTGTGGCCACCCGGGTAGTGCAGATCACACTGAGTGTTCGAGGCCATCTGATACTACCTGCACACTGTCAACCCGTGCGTTGAGTTGCGAGTGAAGGACCACCGGGCCAGGTAGATGGTGTCTTGGGTGTGCGGTACGAGCGCGTTCCGCCCCCCCTCCCCCTGGTGGGAGTGCGGATGTCGGGATAATCTGATATTATCTACCCCGTACTCCGTACTTTGTACGAGTAGTTACGTCGTAGTAATACCTTGTCGTTAATTTGCACTGACAGAAAAAAAGGGTGTTGCTGGTCGGTGCCGTAAATGGAGAGAGAGTCAGAAGAGGCGAGAGAGATGGGAGAGAAAGCCAGGCAAAGGCCGCAAAAGCCAAAGTGGAAATTGAGCGAATCGAGCAGGACGCTTAGCAGCACGGTGGGGTGGGTTGGCCTCAGACCCGTGTGCCCGCGCCGCGTGTATAAAAATACATGCCTAATCGTATACAAGGTCCAGGCCCCTCCTTCCCGCCTGATTTTTCCCAGCCGCCGCGTCTCTTTGCTTCTGGACGTCTTTTGCCTGCTTATATATGTATGAGTACTAATAAATCCTGTCAACGACCTACAGGCTTAATAGCATCACACATACAGCACCACACACCCACACACACACACACACACACACATACACAACAGCCCACCAGAAGCTGCATTGCACACTGGCTGCTGCACTAATCAACCAACCAACCAACCACAACGCTCTATTCCGCCTACTACTAACTCGCTCCTTCTCTTATTTTCCGCGTTGCCCTGCAATAGCAACAATAAACGGCAACAACGAACGGATTTTGAGGGTATCGCGAGCCGTTCCTTCTCCAAGGTGTACATTCGTCGGCCATCGTGATTAGTTCATTAACTCTCTCATCGTTACTTGCTTGTTCTAAAAAGCCTTGAGATTCCGGCTTTATCAAATCACCCTCGGAATCCTCTTTCGCCTCAGCACCAGATTGGACATCCGTTGAGTTGGCAGTTCATCCGTTTCCCCTTTACGCGCCTGTGCGTCACTCACCCTTCTGCGCATATAAAGAAAGGTGAGCCCATCTTCATCAGCAACAGCGACAACAGCAACCACGGCCAGCACCAAACAATCTGTTCCAGCTGCGTGCGCTGTTGGCCGAAACCGAAAACTTACACATTTGATTCATCAGGCTGGGTGATGGAATAAAAGCTCTCGTCAGCGCATCAAACTTTACACAACATGACCTCCAGGTATGCTACGCACTGCCCTCACTCGTTGTGTTGATGTGCACCGCTAACAGCTCCACAGATTGGACCGCCTGGTCACGTAAGTAACCTTTTCTTTTGTAGATGACACGCTGGAACCCCTGTCCCGGCTTTTGAACGCGAAGCATATGCTGACCTGCATATGACAGAATCTTGGAGACGGGCAGTACGCGTCTCATTCGCGAAACTGCCGTGAGCCAACTTGCAGACTGGCAAAAACAGCACCCCGACGAGCTCTTCAACCTTCTGTCCCGTGTTGTTCCTTACCTACGACACAAGGATTGGGAGACGAGGAGTACGTCAGCCAAAGCCATCGGCAAGATCATCGAGAATGCGCCACTCTATGAGCCAAATGCTCAAGAGCCGCCCGAACAGAAGGACGAAGAGCCCGGCGAGGCCAAGAAGGAAGAACCTGCGACTCAAGATGGGCCAGTGAAGAAGGAAGAGGAGGACCAGGCCGCTCCTCTTCCCACCAGCGATGACGTCTTCACACTGGAATCATTGGACGTTGACATGGTCCTCAACTACGGCCGCGAACTTCTGCGAGGCGGCAACCTCGAGTACGGCCTTGCCTCGCTGGATCCGCAGGAGCGTTTAGCACACCAAAAAAAGACACTCAAGGGCCGTTTGGGACTCTTGGGCCGCAAGTTTGAGGACGACGAGATCCCCGTCAGCATCGCCCCATCTGTCACCCCACTAGCTTCCGTGGATTCCAGTAATGGCAACGGCTTGAACCACACCGATAGCATCTCTGGTGCCCAGCCGTCCGAGGAGGCTCAGCTGAGCTCCCGGCAGCTCAATGTACTAAAGAGGAAACGAAAGAGGGAGGCTATGAAGGCATCGCAGGGAAAGAGTGGATTCGGAGACCTGTCCTTCAGGCGATCTACAACAGCAGGCTCAGAAGGTGTCGGTGCCGGCAGTGATGACGCACTACCCACGGAATCCGACTCCAAGAAGAACAGCAAAGTCAACGAATATTTCAACCTGGACCGCCCTTCCGACCTGGACGAGGATTCCAAGGTTGTCAGCGAGTTCAAGGGCGCTGCTATTCCCATAAAATCCGAAATCGAGGTCGACGACTCTGATGAGGGCGCCGAATGGCCGTACGAGCGACTCTGCGACTTTCTCAAGGTCGACCTCGTTGATCCTTCTTGGGAGACACGCCACGGCGCTGCCATGGGCCTTCGTGAGCTGATTCGAGTGCACGGTGGTGCCGCCGGCACTAAAGCAAACAAGTCGAGGGCCGAGAACGAGGAGCTAAATCGCATTTGGTTGGACGACCTGGCATGCCGCCTCTGCTGCGTGCTTATGCTTGACCGTTTTACCGATTACAGTTCAGATACCTCTGTGGCTCCTATTAGGGAGACCATCGGCCAGTCTCTCGGATCTGCCCTGAAACACCTGTCCCCCGGGTCCGTCCACAAGGTCTTTCGGGTGCTCTATCGAATGGTCATGCAGGATGACCTCACCCTTGAGCGACCGGTGTGGGCTGTTGGACACGGCGGCATGGTGGGGCTCAGGTACGTCGTCGCTGTTCGAAAGGACCTTCTCCTCGAGGACAACGACATGATTGACGGCGTGGTCCGAGCCGTCATGAAGGGCCTGGGCGACTTCGATGATGATGTCCGCTCCGTCAGTGCCGCTACCCTTATCCCCATGGCCAGGGAGTTTGTCACTCTGCGTCCCGGGTCCCTAGAGGGACTCATCAACATTGTGTGGGAGAGCCTTTCCAATCTCGGGGATGATCTGAGCGCCAGTACCGGTCGCATCATGGACCTCCTAGCCACCCTCTGCAGCTTCCCCGAGGTTCTGGAAGCCATGAAGACCAGTGCAGCCCAGGATGAGGAGCGCTCCTTCACCCTCTTGGTTCCTCGCCTATATCCGTTCCTCCGCCACACCATTACCTCGGTGCGTCTGGCTGTGCTCAAGGCTCTGTCGACCTTTGCCAAGTTGGATGGAACCACCTCGCAGGGATGGCTCAATGGCAGGATATTGCGACTTGTTTTCCAGAACATCTTGGTCGAAAGGGACAAGGAAACGCTCTCTGCATCCCTCGAGCTCTGGAAGGCTCTCGTCCAGAGCTTGGCTAAGGACCCCGCCGTCCTGGCAGATGAGTTTTCGCCTCACGTCGAGGCCATGATGCAGCTGACGCTGCATCCCATCGGCACATCACGAAACCCCATCCCGATGAATGCTTCCCTCTTCCAGAAGCCGTCAGGCGGAACCTATTCGATTCCAGGTGCCGTCCAGCCCACACCGCGGAAGGGAACCTCCCCCGATGGCTCGGAGAACAGAGCGACCAAGCGACGTCGCAGGTCTACCAAGGTGGAAGATACGCCGACCACTAGCCTCACGCATGACGTTGATGGGCACATGCTGCAAGGTGACGTTGACTTGGTCGGCATGGACGTCCTGATCCGCTCACGCGTCTCGGCCGCTAAGGCGATGGGATTCATCATGTCCCGCCTGCCGAGTGATAGTCTTAACGCATACGATGACGTGCTCGTGCCTGGATTCACCTCGCCCTTTTCCTCCTCACAACTGGCCGCCTGCGCCGTCGCCGATGAACACGCCAAGCAGTCCGACGACGACGACAAGCCCTCGAGATACCTCAGCCACCTCCAGGCCATGGTGGAAGGAGACCGCCCGTCGGCGTACAGGGATCTAGTCAACTATGTTCAACGCGTGAGGACTCAGTGCCAGCAGCTCATCCACCTTTTCCGCGACCACGGAAAAGTCTCGCAGCACAGGTTGCCTATTCTCCCTGTCATCGTGCAAGGGGAACCTGAGGCTGGCCCCAACGCCTTTTCTATTGCCACAGCTGAGAAGTGCGTCAGCGACGACTACGAAAAGCTACGCAAGGCTATGCCTCCCGGTCAACGCCTGATCGCCACCCAACAACTTGTGGAAGCCCGCAATGTGGCAAACGATGTCATATCCGAGGCCAAGGCGATCAAGGACGTGCGGGACATCAGGGTCAAGGCTGGTGCCGCGTGTGCCATGGTGTCGATGAAGCAGCTGCCTAAGAAGCCGAGCCCGCTCATCAAGAGCATCATGGATTCCATCAAGTTGGAGGAGAACCAGGAGCTTCAGGCTCGCTCCGCCGAGACCATTGCCAAGCTTGTGCAGCTATTCACCCTAGGAGGACGACGTGGCCCCGCCGACAAGGTGGTGGCGAACCTCGTCAAGTTCTCCTGCGTCGAGGTGGCGGAGACGCCCGAGTTCCCCGTCCACGCCCTCAAGACGGATTGCATCCTGTCGATGCAGAAGGAAGAGGACCGGGTCGATCACGCAGACGTAGTCAAGTGGGCCAAGGAATCCAAGGCCGCGCGTGTCACGAGGAGGGGTGCTAAGGAGGCGCTGGAGATTCTGTCGCGAACCTACGGCGCAAGCCTCCTGGAAACGGTCCCCAAGCTCCAAGCTTTCATGGAAGAGCCCCTGACGATAGCCTTTGGCGGTGACGACCTGCCAAACGAGGCCAAGGATCCCGAGCAGACGTTTGGACAGGAGATCGTCGATGCTATGTCTGTCATCCGGACCATGACGCCTACGTTGGACCCTGCGCTTTATCCGTTTGTCATGCGCATGCTGCCGCTCGTCATCAAAGCTCTCCACTCGGAGCTCTCCGTCTTCCGATACATGGCTGCCAAGTGTCTGGCCACCATCTGCAGCGTCATCACCGTGGAGGGCATGACTGCTCTGGTTGAGAAGGTACTTCCTTCGATTGGGAACCCGGTCGATCTCAACTACCGCCAGGGCGTGATTGAGTCCATCTACCATCTCATCTCGGTCATGGGCGACCGTATCCTCCCCTACGTCATCTTCCTCATCGTCCCAGTCCTCGGCCGTATGAGCGACTCGGACAATGACATTCGTCTCATCGCCACGACGTCCTTTGCCACCCTTGTCAAGCTGGTGCCTCTCGAAGCCGGTATTCCCGACCCGCCTGGCCTCTCGGAAGAGCTCCTGCAGGGACGTGACAGGGAGCGCAACTTCATCGGCCAGCTGCTTGACCCCAAGAAGATTGAGGAGTTCAAGATCCCTGTCGCTATCAAGGCCGAGCTGCGATCGTATCAGCAGGAGGGTGTCAACTGGCTCCACTTCCTCAACAAGTACCACCTGCACGGAATCCTCTGCGACGACATGGGCCTGGGAAAGACCCTGCAGACCATCTGCATCGTGGCAAGCGACCATCACGAGCGGGCGGAGCAATTTGCCAAGACGAAGGCGCCTGACGTTCGCAGGCTAGCATCCCTGATCGTGTGCCCGCCTACGCTGTCCGGCCACTGGCAGCAGGAGGTGCAGGCGTACGCCCCGTTCCTCAGCGTGACGGCCTATGTTGGGCCGCCAGCCGAGCGCAAGGCTATGAGAGACAAGCTGGGGCAGACGGACATTGTCGTGACATCGTACGACGTGTGCCGCAACGACGCAGAGATTCTGGAGAAGCACAACTGGAACTACATTGTGCTGGACGAGGGCCACCTGATCAAGAACCCAAAGGCCAAGATTTCCCAGGCCGTCAAACGGTTGGCTAGTAACCACCGGCTCATCCTCACAGGAACGCCCATCCAGAATAACGTCCTGGAGCTGTGGTCGCTGTTTGATTTTTTGATGCCCGGATTCTTGGGAGCTGAAAAGGTGTTCCTGGACCGCTTTGCGAAGCCTATCGCGGCTAGCCGCTTCAGCAAAGCTTCGTCCAAGGAGCAGGAGGCCGGTGCCATTGCCATCGAGGCTCTGCACAAGCAGGTGCTTCCCTTCCTGCTGCGCCGTCTGAAGGAAGAAGTGCTCAACGACCTGCCGCCCAAGATCCTGCAGAACTACTACTGCGACCTGAGCGACCTGCAGAAGAAGTTGTTTGAGGACTTCACCAAGAAGCAGGGCAGGAAGATTCAGGACGAGGCAGGCCGCGAGGATAAGGAATCCAAGCAGCACATCTTCCAGGCGCTACAGTACATGCGGAAGCTGTGCAACTCACCGGCACTCGTCATGAAGCCAGACAATAGCCTGTACGCGGACACGCAGCGCATCCTCCAGAAGCAAGGGTCCTCGATCGAGGATGTGTCGCACGCGCCCAAGCTCACGGCGCTCAAGGACCTCCTCGTCGACTGCGGCATCGGGGTGGAGGGTGGCGACTCCAACGACCCTCTGTACCAGCCCATCAAGCCCCACCGCGCGCTCATCTTCTGTCAGATGAAGGAGATGCTGGACATGGTTCAGAACAAGGTGTTTAAGGAGCTGCTCCCGTCGGTGTCTCACCTCCGGCTAGACGGGTCGGTCGAGGCCAACAAGCGACAGGACATTGTCAACAAGTTCAACAGCGACCCGTCGTACGACGTGCTGCTTCTGACGACGAGTGTCGGTGGTCTGGGCCTCAACCTGACGGGAGCCGACACGGTCATATTCGTGGAGCATGACTGGAACCCACAGCGAGACCTCCAGGCCATGGACCGCGCACACCGCATCGGACAGAAGAAGGTGGTGAACGTATACCGGCTGATTACGCGCGGTACGCTGGAGGAGAAGATTCTCAACTTGCAGCGCTTCAAGATTGATGTGGCGTCGACGGTAGTCAACCAGCAGAACGCGGGCCTGTCGACCATGGACACGGACCAGATCCTGGACCTCTTCAGTCTAGGCGACTCGGGCCCCAGCCTCATATCGGACAAGCCCAATAATGGTGGGGGCGACGGTATTGAGGGCCGCGAGGAGGACATGGTGGACCTGGAGACGGGAGACGTGCTGCGGCAGCCCAACAAGAAGCCGTGGTTGGACGACCTGGGTGAGCTCTGGGATAATAAGCAGTACGAGGAGAGCTTTGACTTGGACGACTTTATGAAGACGATTTCCTGAGGGAAGGGGGGGGGGAGTATTTGTAAGATTTTATACTCTTTTTATCCCTTTCCAATTTTTTTTGGCATGATCATTTGTATAGTGGCGGAAAACAGGGGACCTATCCATTGGAACATTGGATTGTACTATAGTAAGAATACTTTATTCCATCGTGGTGCATCTGCTTGAGAGGTGTGTGGGTGACGAGTGAAGTGTGACGCAGGTTGCTTGAAAAGCACTGCGAGCGTGGCGAGGCCCGCCCCTGGTAGGGCGACGAGAGGCAAACCGACGACAATTGAGGGTGACAATTCTTTCCATCATTCTGGGATGCCAACTGTGATCGATGAGGAGGAATTCGTGCATTCCGTACCATTGTTAGTAGTACTGGTAGTAGGATACTATCCCTCGATGCTGCAGCAACTCGGTATGTGATTGCGATTGCGATTGTCTTTGGAGGTGGCAGTACGTCACTGGAGCTGTAGAAAGTAAAGGAACTACCCCGCGCCAATTGCGTCGCGGTTGGGTCCAGAAGTTTCCACCTCGTTTTTTTCTTCGACGAGCTTCTCCATCATAGAAACTTGGCCAAGAGAATGGTGTGACTTTTTCCCTGCAGACAATCTAGAAAGTTGCATCCTTCTTCCCTTCTTTTCCTGTCCATTCACCGACACCGACACACCGACAGGGGACGCAGCGGAGACGCTGAACGCCAAAAAAAACCCAACCCATCCCCCCCTCCCCCCCTCCCTCCTCCCTCCCCCAGACAAAGGCAGACCTACACCGAACGTGCTTCTCTGCAGGCGAAATCAGTAAATACCACAGATATTAGTGNACGCAGAAAAAAAAAACAGAGAACGAAAACTACAGAAGTTCCGTGTTGCCGAGATGCCTGTAGACTACAGCAAGTGGGTGAGTGGAGGACAGATTCTGGGCTGGTGCGTCATGCTACGACATACAGGAGAAATCTGACAGAAAGGCGAACACAGGACAACCTCGAGCTGAGTGACGACTCAGATATAGAGGTGCACCCCAACGTGGACAAGCGATCCTTCATCCGCGCCAAGCAGAACCAGATCCATCAGGAGAGGCAGCAGCGAAAACACCAGATCGAGACGCTCAAGTACGAACGGATCATCAACGATGGACTCTTGAAGAGGATATCATCGCTGCTGGCGGCGCTGCGGGCGCGGGCGTCGGAGACGACGACGGGCGGGCGCAACGCGGGCGAGGTGGCGTTCCAGGCCGTGATGGAGTCGGCCGGAAAGCCGGAGGACGACAAGCCGCCGCCGCGACCGGAGGGGGTGCACAGCGCGGACGGGTCGGAGCTCCCGTCGTTCTCGCAGATGATGATCACGCTGCTCGACCAGGTGAACAAGGCGCTGGACGAGAAGAAGCCCGAGGACCGGTACGCGGCGACGATCGACGAGGTGCAGGGCCACGAGGACAAGGTGGTGGCGCTGCAGAGGCAGCTGGAGGAGAAGCTTGCGGAGCTCGAGAAGGTAGACAGGCGCAAGATCACGAGCGAGGCGTACCACACCGGATTCGACAGCTCGCACGTGTCCAAGGCCACGGCGGCCGACAGGCAGAAGCAGCAAGCGTCGGGAGCACCGGCGGCGTCGGCGCAGCCGCAGCTGCTCAACCCAAACTTCCAGTCGGCGCCCGGCCCCGCAGCTTCTACGACGACGGGCGGTGGCGGAGGCGACGACGGCGAGGAGATTGAGGCGTCCGAAGCGGGCAAGAAGTTCGCCCGGATCAAGCCGCAGGACTACGCGGCCAGCGCGCGGTTCATATCGCAGAACCCGCAGATCCTCACCGAGCGGGAGACGGACGGGCTGCTCGTCATGGCATTCGACGCGGCGCTCGAGGGCAAGGACGAGTTCGCCAGGCAGTGCGTGCACCAGGGCTTGCTCCTGCAGTACTGCCGGTCGCTGGGCCCCGACGGCGTCGGCCTCTTCTTCAGGCGCATCACGACCCGGGGCCACCAGGCGCAGGAGGTCTTCGCCAAGGATGTGCAGGACACGTACATGCGCATCCGGAACCGGTCGAGGGAGATTGTGCGCGAGAGGGCGCTGGAGAAGGAGAGGGGCGCGGACGCCGGCGTAGAGCAGATCCAGCTGCACGCCATGGAGCCCGGGACGGTCATCAACATCCGCATCCCGCCGGCCGTGCCCGACGACCAGCCCGACGGCGAGGGCGTGGAGGAGGCCAGGAGGGCCAGGGCCATCTTCGAGAGTTTCAAGCCCGACATGAGGAAGGCGCTCGAGTCGGAGAGCCTCGACGAGGTCAACAAGGTTCTCGGGGAGATGAGTGTCGAAGAGGCCGAGGAGATTGTCAACCTATTCGGAGAGGTGAGTACGGGCCAAAAAAAACAGCATTTGATTTTACGGGCACGACCCAATCTTCTCTTGATTGAAAAAAAAGAAGACTACAAAAAAAAAGAGGCTAACGCGGATGAATACAGGCCAACATTCTCAGTCTGGAAGAACAGATCATCGATGCGACGACCGAGGAAGGTCAGAAGCAGCTCAAGGAGTTGGAGAAGGAGGCTGCAAGGGACAAGGCTGGCGAGGCACCGAAGGGTGATGAGGAGCAGGAGAAGAAGGAGGAATATCCTGATCCGGAGTAGGCATCTCTAGCACATTCAATACATGATCAATCGATGTATATTGCATATACGCAAGGGCCTTGGGAGCGAAGCGAGAACAGGCCATCCCGGCAAGGGCCGCCCGAAGGCTCTTCGTGCTAACGCAGCAGCGGTGGTGGTGGTGGTGGTGTGCTATAACGCTACAAGTCTTGTGGCGTGATACCTTTTTGTTGAAGGCCCGGTGAATGGCAAAAGGTTCGTTGTCAGTAGAAGAGGAGAAGAGGAGAGAGAGAGAGGGAAGCCATCCAGGTAGGAAAGGCAGCCAGCCAGTCAAGGAGTAGCAACGACGGCAACGTTCAACATCGACAGCAGAAAGAAACTGCCAAAACCCCAAACCCCAAACCCCCCTACGGTACATGCGTACCAAGCCTAACCATGACATGACCATACAAGGCTGACGGCGCTGCGAGTACTCGTACAGTCCCCTGTACTATTATTAGCCATGGCTATGGTGGTGGTGATGCATGCACCGTGTTCACCGATGGGGAGGCGGGAGAAGATGATGGATGACTAAACATGCCCATCAGAGTATGCACCAAGAATAGCACAAAGCACAAGCTCCATATCCGTCCGGACGGAGGCTGCATCTAAAAACCGACGGGAAAAGGTGCATTCTAGATTCTAGACCTTCTCTAGGCGACGCGGAATGGCGCGTACTCGTGCATGTGAGTATGAATCAGTACCAATCCACATACGAGACCGTTGTCGGCTTTTTGGCGGTGGTAAAATGGTAGGGAGGCGAAGAAGGACAGAGTGAGGCAGTGCAGAGAGAATAAGAGGTCAGAGGTTAGAGGTTAGGGGCGGGGAGGAGGGGAAGGGGGGGGGGGGGATTCACTACATGTACGATATGGATTACATAATACACCCTCTCACCACACTGTACAGCAGTACGACTATAGAGTATTCTACATGATGTTTACATGAGCAATCTTACATGATCTACTCCGTAATCCACAGATGTAATCTGTAATCTGTAGAGTCGAGAGAGAAGGAAAGCCAAGACGATGGAACAGACGGTCGAGAACAGGTGAGAAAATGAGTGAGAGAGAGAGAGGGAGAAGGATTGAATGTGGCGACGAGCGTGTCAGAAGCTTGGCATTGAGCCTTGACCCATGAAACCCCCCTCCCCCCCCCGGATCAGCTCTCCCATGTCTCATCATGGCCCAGATTGGAAGACGTAATATCGAATCAACCATGCCATTCATCTTGTCTGTCTGAGCACGGGGTACCAGGTAGTCGCAGTATTATTCATCCAGCCTCTCTCCCTCTCCTCGTCAACGAGCCTACTTGCCGTATCCGTCTCTCTCGCTGTCGTCGTGATGACAGCCAAGAGTCCGAGGGGATAGGCTTGGACGGCTCCCATCCTGATGCATCGTATGTTTTGGGGGGGGGGGGGGGGAGGACGCGACGTGTACTCATAATGATGATACTTACCGTACCTTGGACGTGCGTACCCGGGACCCTCCTGGACGGGACCTCATCTCTGCCGCCGTCAAACCCTGGTCAAACGTCTAGGGGGGGTGTATGTGAGTGTGTGTGTGGGAGGCCGCCGCAGTATTATTGTTATTAGCAGCAGCAGCAGCAGCAGTAGTAGTATTGCTTGGCTCTTTGCGTGTTGTCGTTGTTATTGTTTATCAATAATAATCATGCTCTGTATCGACACACTCGAGTGCTCTGCATCGAGGGATTGGACCTCTCTTCTCTCCATCTCCCTCCCTCTCTCTATTACATGCAAACAGGAGGAGAGGTCAGAGGACGGGGACGGTAGAGAGACGAGCAGAATGGCTTAGACCAGGGGTAAAACATGGAGGTTGGAGACCCACGTTGGCGGCAATGATGGGGACCGGGGGTTGCTTGGCTGGGGTGTGTGTGTGTGTGTTGCGTGGCGTGTGCGTGTGTGCGTGTGCGTGTGTGTGGGGACTCGACTCCTTCTACACGCCGGCGTCGACACAGAGGCGCAGTTGTCGATCAGCTCCGTAGCATTCGGCTTGTACGAGTGTTGTTATATGAGCATGGGGACGAGCTGGTGAATGGTGTGGGCAGATCTCGAGGAAGAAGGGACCAATATGGAGTACGGCGCTTCGCCTCGTTGCGATGTACGACTTCGGTTAGGGATCGAGAGACGGAACGAGAGGTAATAATAGAGGGATGGGAAGGGGAAGCTGCTGGGCGGAGACCCCTCTGTAAGGAGAGAAGGAGAATAATAAGAAAAAGAAGAAGAGAGAAGAGAAGAAGACAACAAAAAGTAGGCTGGGCCCTGCATCCTTCTTCTCCACCACAAACCACCACCACCTCACTTTTGTCTCTCAACCTCTTTTTTTTTTTTCGTCTTCTTCTACTGTTCAACCTCTTCAATTTCTTCCTCCCCCGCCTCGCACACACACACACTCTCTCTCTTTATCCTGATTTAGTATTTAGACTTCAGTTCTCTTGTCTCGTCTCTTCTCTCTTGTTCCATACATCATTCTTGGCATTCTGTTTCATCCTCTTCTTCCTCCATACCTCTCTTTCCCCAAGGGATCTCTTCTTCTTCCATCCTCTGTCCAACACACACACACACACACACACACACACACAGCACACCACATCGACAAGCACCGACACATCAGATCATCATGTGGTCCGGATCCATCATCGCATCGGCCCTGGCGGCGGTAGCAATGGCATCACCCTCTCCCGTCCGCCGAGCGACGACGGCCTGCAACAACTCCCCCTCGCTCTGCAGCAAGAAGTACAACGAGGTGACGTACCTGGGCGCCCACAACAGCTATGCCCTGCGCGACGACAGCACCGGCAACTCGATAGCCGGGAACCAGTACCTGAACGCGACCAAGGCCCTGGACGCCGGCCTCCGCCTGCTCCAGGTGCAGACGCACGAGGGGAACGCCACGCTCGAGCTCTGCCACACGTCCTGCTCGCTGCTCGACGCCGGCCCGCTCACGGACTGGCTGGCCGACATCAACACCTGGCTGGGCGCCAACCCGAACGAGGTGGTGACGCTCCTCATGGTCAACGGCGACAGCGCGCCCGCCTCGACCTTTGCCAGCGCGCTCGAGTCGTCGGGCATCTCGGAGCACGCCTACTCGGCCTCGGTCGACGGGCCCTCGTCCAGCTGGCCGACCCTCCAGACCATGATCGACGACGACAAGCGCGTCGTCACCTTTGTCACGAACGTCGACTACTCGTCCCAGACGCCCACCATCCTGCCCGAGTTCGACTACGTCTTCGAGACGGCCTTTGACGTCACCGACATCTCGGGCTTCAACTGCACCCTCGACCGCCCCTCCGACCTCGACGACGCCTCCACCGCCATCGGCTCCGGCTACATGGGCCTCATCAACCACTTCAAGTATCAGGCCATCACCACCGGCGTCGAGATCCCCGACGTCGACACCCTCGACACCGTCAACAGCAACAGCAACACCACCGAGGGCGCCATCGGCACCCACCTCAAGCAGTGCAGCACCCAGTGGGGCAGCGCTCCCACCTTTGCCCTCGTCGACTTCTGGAACGACGGTGAGGCCCTCGAGGCCGTCGACGCCATCAACGCCGTCACCGACGCTACCGGCCGCACCGCCGCCGAGTCGGGCTCGGCTGACGATACCAGCGCCGTCCCCGGTGCAGCCCACGGGAGGATGAATGCCGGTGCTCTCCTCGTCTTCGTTGCCGCCAGCATCATGATGATTTGAGGAGTCGACATCATCCCGTTCTTTCTCTTCCTCTCGTTTCCTTCTTTCCCCTTCTTTCTCTGTCCCCCATCATCTTTCTTGCATCGTCATTCCACCTTTAACTCCGTTTTAGTGCCCCCATTCTTTCATTTGTTTTTTCTTCCTGTCTTTTTTTTTTTTTTTTTGGATTCATCCCTCTCTTGATCAAAGCACAGCGAGGCGTTTTGGGAACTGGGCAAAATTACAACAACAACAACAAAACCTCAGACCGGACCAACTTGTCAGATCGGTACCAATTTGTACATTCAAAGTAGATACAAGGTCCATATATATATATATATATAATATGACCACAGGATGTCACGTCTAGCAGTGACGCCCATCGTATGCGTACCCAGCAGAGCACAAGGAACGTAGTAACGAGTCAAGAAAAAAGTGAAAGAGGAGTCAAGACGTACCCGAGGACACGACGAGCCAAGTGAGAGGGAGTAGTAGAGAGTGAGCAGTCAAGACTAAGAGAGCAACTCTTGTACCCTCTTCACCTTGTCCTCGGCCGTCTGCTTCTTATCCGTCCTGACGCCAGCCCTCATGGTCGTCTGGATACGGACGACACCCCTCTGCAGTACGGCGGTATGAGCCTTGCCGATGGCGGACATGACGTCGCTCCAGCTGCCTTCTATTTTGTTCATCATCCCTCGTTAATCACCATACATGTGGAGGGCCTCCATGGAAGGATGGAGAGAGGGAGAGAGAGAGGGGGGAGGGGGGGGGATAGAGATAGAGAAGACATACCAACCGTTGTACCGGCCGAGTGCATGGTATACTTGAGACCGCTGGCCTTCAACACCTTTTGAACCTCTGCCACCTCGGCGGCCACCGACGTGTTGCCTGTACCGACCTTTTTTTTTTTTTGGAGGGGGGGGGGGGGAAGGGGTCAGCTGAGCTCATACGACCAGAGGGGAGGGGGAAGGGGGAGGCAGCTCAGGTAAGCCCGGTAACACTATATCATTCAGTCAGATGAGGGAGGAGAGGAGGGCGTGACATACTGGCACGAGACAAAAGTCGACGTAGCAGGCTTCCGGGATAGGAATAGATTCGTAGTCCATCTTATCGTTTATCGTTTCTTGGGTATTTCTTTTTTCTTCTCCTTTTTTTTTTAAAAAAAAAGGGGAAAAAATGATGACGAAGATGATGAAAAAGATGGGGGGAGAAGAAAGAAAGATAGAAAAAAACCGAGGTGATCATCACGAGAGGGATTACGGGTAGATATTAGCGGGGGAGTGGGAGTGTGCGCGATGCCATTAGTGCCGGACAAGGTAAGGCACCTTTTAAAACTCGCACCGAGGGAAACTGTCAGCGCTCCTGGACCATGGCATCTGTACATCTGCAATTGCCGTCGCTGACTACTTCTACTGCCTCTCCTGCCCTTTTGACGCGCTTTACCTCATAGCCGTTTGGTTGCCGCTCACCACCGTATTATTTGTGTTGTTGACCTCCCACTTGCGCTGGACTACAACGCAGAGCCTTGCGGCGTCACGGCACACCTCCCGGGTAAGTCATTGCGGAGTATCAGAGTGCATATATATATAATATCAATACTAGAAGAGTCTGGTACGAAATATCAGGGGGAGACCCTCTGACTCTCCGTCTTGCTGTACAGATTACAGATTACAGATTACAGATTACAGACTACAGACTACGGAGTATCATTACTGTGGCTTGGCGGACAAGACCTGGCAGAGTACGAGTACGAGTAATCAGCCGCGCATACCCGCTTACCCGTTTCACCCCAGACTTGATATTATTTTCACCATCATCAACAAACTCTGGTCACACCATACACACCCCCCCCCTTCCCCCCCGAATAGATTGACCATTCGGAGGAAAAATCAGGAAAAAAAAACCCCCCCAAAAAACAACAACAACAACAACAACAACAACAACACCATGGCCAGAACACCATTCCATCATCCCCGCGACGCCGAGTACGAGCCTCTCACAGCCGAAGACGATGACAACCGCAGCGATGACGACGCCTCCACGCCCATCATTGCCAACGACGACTCCGACGATGACGTCCCCTTTTCATGGGTAGAATACTCCATCTTTGGTCTATTGGGAATGGCCATGCTATGGGCATGGTATGCTTCTCTCTCCCTCCCTGCCTCCCTCTCTATTCCCTCCCCCTTCTCGCCATGCTGACCTCCTCTCCCCCCCCTCAAAAGGAACATGTTCATGGCGGCAGCGCCCTACTTTTCGACGCGCCTAGTCGCCGATCCAGGTCTCCAGTCGTCCTTCCAGTCGTCCGTGCTGACCGTCTTCACCGCGACCAACCTGGCGGCCATGCTCGTCCTGTCCCACCGGCAGAAGTCGGCCTCGTACCCTCTGCGTATCAACGTCGCCCTGGGCGTCAACATGTGCGTCTTCCTCTTCCTCACGGCCTCGACCACCATCAGCGACGACGTCGACGAGGCGCCCTCCCCGTCATCCTACTTCGCCTTCCTGCTCTGCATGGTCTTCTGCTCCGCCTGGGCGACGGGCCTGGTGCAGAACGGTGCCTTCGCCTTCGCCGCCAGCTTCCGCAGGCCCGAGTACATGCAGGCTCTCATGGCCGGCCAGGCCGTGGCCGGCATACTGCCTCCCGTCACGCAGTTCGTCAGCGTCCTCGTCTTCCCCCCCGGGGTTTCGGGTGGCGATGGCGATGGCGATGGCGGTGACGATGCCGTCGGTGCCGGCACAGTGGACATTCAAGAGGACGGGAGCACCAGCACCGCCGCCTTCTTCTACTTCCTCACCGCAGTCGCCATATCGGCCGTCACCTTCGCCGCCTTCATCCCGCTCACCCGTCGCCGCAGCGAGCTCGAGTACGAGCACGGCAGCCGTCGCGGCGACGCGGCCGACGCTTCGCCGTCCACCCCGCTCGTCCGTCTCCTCTCCAAGCTCCGCTGGCTCGCCGCCGCCCTGTCCCTCACCTTTGTCGAGACCATGTTCTTCCCCGTCTTCACCGCGAAGATCACGTCCGTCAACTATGCCGGGAACAGCAGTACCGTCTTCAGCCCCGTCGCCTTCGTCCCCCTGGCCTTCGTCGTCTGGAACCTGGGCGACCTGTCCGGCCGTCTGGCCACCATGCTCCCCGCCTTCAGCCTGGTCGGCCGGAGGTCCGACGCCCCGCGCATCCTCTTCGCCTGCGCCGTCGCCCGCGCCCTCCTCATACCCGTCTACCTCGCTTGCAACGTCGGCGGGAGGGGCGCCCTGGTCCCCTCCGACGCCTTCTACATGCTCTTTCAGCTGCTCTTTGGCTTCACAAACGGTTGGCTCGGCGCCAATTGCATGATGGCCGCTCCCGCTCATGTCGACGACGACGAGAGGGAGGCCGCTGGGGGCTTCATGGGACTGTGCCTTGTTGCCGGTCTGGCCGTTGGCAGTCTTCTCAGCTTTGGCGTTTCCGCCTTGTAAATTACCGCCTACTCTCTCTTTTTCCCCCTTTTTTTTCTCCCCCCCCTTCCCCGTTCTTTTCCCTTGGTTATTTTGCTATCTAACTAGAGCATCTGCACTGATTTGCTTGGTGGATTTATACATGGCGTTCAGCATTTGCATCTTTCTGTACTTATAACACTTCGAACTTTTTTACAACAAAAAAAAATGTAAAATATCTTGTTGCGTTTTTATACCCTGATGGGTACCATATATATACATAACCTTCGCCCCGTGTGTATGGGTAAAGCTCCGTCCTGTGATGAGATAGTATTCATATACATATATATACCATGCAAACTTGTTCTCTACCAACCACTCCATGCTTTCCAATGTCCGTGTCGATGCCAAGAAGGAAAAAGAGTCAGATATATGTCGAAAAATGAGGGGGAGAAGATGAATGGGGAGATGGAGAGGAGATATCGGAGGCAGCCAGTACTAGCGCCCCCTGGACTGCTGACCCGACGGGCCAAAAGGTTTTGCAAGCTGCCCCTCCAAGCACTCCTGCAGCTTCGCAGCGTCCGTCCTGACGGTGTATACCTTTGACCACCCGTCGCCAGCCTTGTACGGCTGCGAGGCTTCGGCATCGTCGCCCTCATCCTTGTCAATGATGCAGATGAGTTCCTCCTGGACTGGTGTGCTACCCTGCTCCCTAGAGGTGCCGCCACGTTCCTGCTGCTGCTCCTGCAACTCGAGAACACACATTGTAGGCGGACGGTAGATGACGCCCCGACACGAGATGCGATGAGCAGTGTAGAACCCGTGCTCTATGAGGGTGCGCTCCGTGTTTCGCCAGTTGCTCATACGATGCTTGGAGCTCTTCATGTCAAAGTCGACAAAGCGAGTTTTGAGAGGGGGTATAGGCTCCCTGGCCGGTGCAGACGTAGCGCCGTGATGGTGATCGTTGCTAGCGGTACTGGTGTAGTTGCTGCTGCTAGGAGTGGGGACCATCTGGATCTGTGCTAGGCATGTGCAATCCCGCAGGGTCATGGCTAGACTGAAGTCGGCATCGGACTCGTCGGCTCGCAGGGGACCGACCTTGTCGTAGCGCTCCTGTGCTTCGCGGAGGATCTTGAGCGCTGGTTCGTCCCGGAGAAGGCCGAGGGTGGCGTTCAGACGGTGCTGCTTCTGCTGCTGGCTGATGTCGTTACTGCTGGTGCCGCTTCCCTCATCGACACTGGTGCTGCTCGGTTCATCTAGCTCCGGTAGGAGTCTGTACGCGCTCTCGATCCTGACGAGGTTATACTCGTCCCTCCCTAGTGTGAGGGGGCAAGGCTTAGCCTTGGTGGGCACGGGCTTGCGCGGGTCCGGGTCCGAGACATAGTCACGGAGTTCCTTGGCGCATTGTCTGCAGCGAATGGCGCTGGAGGGAGCGCTGGGAGACTGGGAAAGCCACTTTGGTTTGAATTCGACGAGCAATGCCTCGTCATCTGTCGTCCCTTGCGTTAGCATTCATGCAAGAAGGGGGGACAACTAAAGGGACAATATATATAAGTGAAGGTAAAATTGCAGACGGACGATGAATGGGCGACTCACCCTCTGGTCGCATATCTTCAAGGAGGAAAGCCCAATCACTCTGGTCAACAAAAGTTCCCCTAAACTTTTGTTTGCGCGACTGATCGTGACGGCGGAGGTAGTCATTCATGGCATCCACAATGCCGGACCCGCGGATGACTGCCAGCTCCGAGTGCAGGACATAATGGCCCAGGATGGGCTTTATGCGGGTGTGATAGTGCCATTGCTGCTCTACGTGGTCGAATTTGGGAAAGTCGGGTCGCACGGGAGCTTTGGCAACGCGCATGAGGAGGCCTATTCCATCGCCCGCAAGCAATAATCAGTATTGTTGCATCCAGTGAGTGTGCGTGTTGCTTGTTGCTCGTTGCCTATTAAGGAGCGAGAAATGCCAAGTGAAACAAGACGGACGGGGAAGAAAAAGAAAGGAAAAGTGACAGGGTAAAAATAAAATAAAGTAGAACAGCTTACGCGTACCGTCCTCATGACGGAAATATTCACCATCCGGTAGCTTTAGCTCAAAGACGGCATTGGCAGCTCCTTCACCGACGAGTTCACCAAGTTTATAAGACCGGGGTAGTGCCTTGATCTTGATGCAGGTGTTGTTTCCATCGCCAGACCTGGCGATGCGGCAATCGGAGTGATGCTGCTGGCTCGGATCAGCACCGGCTTTGTTGGCTAGCTGCTTCAGGTAGTCCATATCACGTCGTGATATCCATGATTCATGGCCACTGACGGTATACACCGGGAAGTAGCATGCAGCGACGGCGTTGCTGGTGGTCATACCGTTACCGCTTATGGTGCTGCCGGCGCTGCTGCCACTACCGTTGCTGTTAATGCTTCCGTTGGTGCCATGTCCATGACCACGGCGGTAGTGAGATTGAGATGTGGGGAGACGAGCCGATGGCGTGTGCGTAGGCGTTCGAGGGTTAGGGTAGTCGTAGTCGGTGGTGGTGGTGGTGGTGGTTACTGTTGTCGTGTTTGCGATCCTGGAGGATGGATATTTCTCCCAAGCCATGATTGGAGGGGAGACCGGAATCTTTCTTTCTTCACCTTGCATGCAACAGAACTGCAAGGCAACGTCCACTTGTCCAGTGGGAAAGCAGGAGATGGGGTGTGTGGTGTGGGGGAGGGGGGAGGGGAAGGATGGGGTTGGGCAAGGTGAGGCTCCAGGGGTAGAGGGAGCAGGGGTGGCAGCCTCAGGAAAGCAAAGCAAGGCCTGTAATCTGTATATATCTGAGGTGTTTGGATTTCGAGATGAAGACGAAGACGAAGAAGAAATGAGAAAAGAAGAGGAAGACGATGACTGTGAGGATATATGTTGGGAACAAGGTCTGGATGGACGACCAAGCTGGAAATTGGTGGGGAGGGGCAGACCCCAAGTTTAGGTCCAGCTGGCGGTAAGGTAGGCGTCGGTAACGGGGTCGAAGACGATGACGGAGGCTACTCGTACTAGTAGCTGAGGGTACTAGTAGCTAAGCCTACTAGTTACGAGCAGTGACTGGTAGACTGGCGGTAGACATACAAGTATACAAGAATGGTAATACCTGACCCTCGCATGTAGTGTGTTGCGCTTGTGAAGAAGTGTGTGTGGGTTCGATGTTGGCTTCATAATACCACTAAGACGAGTTAGTGAGTCTTGTCGACAGGTGTGGTTTATGCTCTAGAAAGTATCATGTATCATACTCGTAAATGGTAATAGTAGTAGGGTAGGCAGCAGTAGGAATATCGTGTCAACATCATCGAGGTAAGAGAAAGGCAAAAGGCAGGAAAAGATTCGAAAGGAAAGAGGCCCGTGTTGTGGTCGATATTAGGGCAGACTCAAAGGGCCATGAACAAAGGCGGACTCGACAAAGTGCATGATGCTTGAAATCAGACTTGTCACTCGTACAAGGTAGGAAGGCTTTGGGCAGTATTATTGCGTTGCTGCGTTGTTCCTTCTGCCTGCACCTTTTGCATCCGGTTTGTCATGCTTTTCCTTCTCTTCTCTTTACTCGTTATCCAATTCAATTTGATTCATCCATTTTCCCCTTCTCTTCTCGTTCAATGCATTTCGGTGACGTATTATTACACGGACCAACTCAATAGACTTGCCCACGTGATTGGCTGTATACTCGGGACGAATTCGTACACGTAACATAGGGGAACTCGCATTGCATGTCGATCTGTGGCAGCAGCCTCGAAGCAGGTAACCTTCATCAGGGGATGAGTCTATTGTAGAGTCAATATTCGTAGGTTCAAGTCATGTAGGTCTGGACAAGTCTGAATCTGCCGTGTAAGGATTCCTTTATGTTTCTGCCTCATCCGATGCTACCTGCCCCTTTGCAGGTACCCGGGGTTGTACTCATGTACCGCGCCTTTGGGTGAGTACTCGTACTACTGCTAGTACAGGTACTATATGTACATAGTATGCGCCGACTGGGTGGGTGGATGAGATGAAGAGGCGAGGTCAGCTGGTGGCTGTGGATTCGCAAAAGAGCACTTGTAGGGAGAGAGGTATTATGGGTTGGCCCGACTGTCATCACCATGACACCATGTGAGATGCAGCTAGGAATGAGGCGAGTCGCGTGGGCCGCGGGCTGCCGCGTGGGCCACACATGTTTATGTTCAATGTTGATAGGTGTGCCAACAGGACAGAATGCCAACGGCTTGGTGGCGGTACGAGTAGCTGTCGGTTGGGCAGTGCACAATACAAACAAGCCGTCCTAGTAGTGAGGAGGGATGGGTATTTGGCACATGTAGATGTAGTATTACTACCGAGCACTGGTAATAGAAGGAGTAGTAATAATTAGTAGTAATTAAGTAGTAGTAGCAGCAAGCAGCAGCAGCGACAATACGAGATGTACTGATGAGGAAGGAGCGACGAAGCATATGGAAACAGATGGAGTGAACAAGGCGAACTGAGGAAAGAGCATCCATGACCATGAGCATTGAACGATCGATGAGCGACCGAGCGATTGCGGGGAACGAAGAGACAGATCGCATACTAATCTGTACTCCGTACTAATATACTAGTAGTGGTAGCGGTGCTACTGGTAGTAATATTACCTAGCTGTATGTAATACTGCGAGACTACCTTGTAATAATAGAATGAAATAGTAAGATGCTCATGATGGCAACATCCTCCCAGCGTCCATCATCAACTACCTGCAGTAGCCTACCAGCCTGCATAAAAAGGCCCTAAAATGACCAAGACATCAGGTTACGATGGCGATGGGGTTACAAGGGTTCGCATTAGAATACCTCATCTCCACCAGTTAATGCTCGACTGACTAGAGCACTGGCAGTCAAACCACCATTCCAACAGTAAACCAGTTAGAATCCGAAAACACAAGACGAAACGCTCCGAACGAACCCGTCGAGCCGTTTGGCCTGTCCGTGACGAGAATAACACGCTAAAAGCCCGCGACCACTCCACTATCAGCGTCCACTCACGTCTCTCGAGTCTTCCCCGGCCGCTGGTCTGGTCTGGCTGGTCCAGGGGGGCCAAGGCCAAAGGGGCTACGTCCCGCTGTACCCAGGCCATCACCACTGTACGAGTAGTATTGATCCCTATGTAGGTATGGATCCACCCATTCACAGCGCCCTCGCTCTCCATCAGGTCCTAATCATCGACTAAGGCCACTGTAAAACGGCCACCAGAGGAGACTAGTGGAACGCATGGAGAGTGGTCCGTGGACGACCCGCCAAGGGACAGCCCCGTACAGGGCACACGACCACCGGAAGGCACACTGGACCACCTGCACGCCTCGGGGCTCGAGGAGACCGAGATGGCACGCCAGAGAGCCAGGAAAAAAAATTACAGACTCCTTCCCTCCTGAAGCTTCCGACAAGCGTCACACGCATCACATCACCACCACCATCATAATAACAACATCCAAAATACACACACACACACACGCACGCACGCACGCACGCACGCACCCACACCGACAAAGACCCTCACCGCCACACCGCCATTGCTTATATTAATATAACAACACAACCCCGCAGAACCCCCGGTGCCATCTTCAACAGACAACTGCGGAACAAACAAGGAAAAATAGAGAGCACCGTCCCGATCTCATTCGACAAGTGGCAGAGAGCGCACATCACCGCCCTTCCCCCCCATGAGCCGGCGATCCCCATCGCCATTCCAACATGGCCTTCAACTTCAACTGGTCGCCCCTGGCGGCCGACGAGGACTTTTATGCCAAGGCTCGCGACCTGCTCACAAAGGCCCTCAATAAGAATCCCAAGCCTCCCATCATTGTCGATGACATCCTCGTCAGCGAGTTCAATCTTGGCACCGTGCCACCTGATCTGGAGATCCTCGAGATTGGCGATCTGGCTGAGGATAGGTTCCGAGGCATCTTCAAGATGGTCTACACTGGTGATGCCTATTTGACGCTCAAGACAAGGGTCCAGGTACGTTTAGTCTTCATCCCATCCATCACCGCCATCCTTCTCCCTGTCCTCCTCCCTCCGCGCTTCTCCACATTTCGTCGTGAGGAGCTCTTTTTTCCCGTCATTTTGTCACACGACACCCCTACGATAGGAGTCCCATCCCAATCCTGCAGCCCTCGGAGCTTGGACGTGTTCCCGGATATACCGTTTATTGCGCAGTGCAGATATTGCATCTCGCAATACACTCTATCCAAACCCTCTCTACACCACCGCCAATCGAGACCACGAAGCAAGAGCTAACACGCAACGCAACAGGCAAATCCCTTGAATACATATCTTCACTCGAAACCGAGCTTCACGTCGCCGAAACCCTTGGCCGCTGCATCCGGGCTGACAATACCTCTCTCCATCACATTATCCGAGATCAAGCTGTCGGCCTTTATCATCCTCGTCTTCTCCAAGCAAAAGGGTCTCACCCTCGTCTTCCGAAATGACCCGCTCGAGTCGCTCAAGGTCTCGTCGACCTTTGACTCGATCCAGTTCGTCCGCGACTACCTCCAGCGGACTATTGAGCAGCAGTTGCGTAACCTGATGATGGATGAGCTTCCGGCCATCATCCACCGGCTGTCGCTACAGCTATGGTGCCCCGATCAGGTTAAGCAGCAGGCCAACGACCAGGCCCAGGCCCAGGCCCGGAGCCAGACCGAGACATCATCCCGCTCCGAGGACGAGGGCACCAACCCTTTCGCCAACCCACCCGACGACGCCGTCGATGCAGACGGCAACCTCCTCGATCAGGGTGCCCTGTCGGAGCTGGCCCTCGGCGGCGGCCCCCCGGGTGAGGTCCAGTCCCTCTTCTCGCAGAAGAACCTGCTCCGCCTCGCAGCCTTGACCGACTCGCATCGCACCCTATCCCTCTTCACCCCGGGCATCCGCGACGTCGTCTTCCGCGCCTGGTCCGGCGCAGGCCGCCACCTCGGCGACAGGCTCGACGCCAACACGGCTGCCATCGGCCCGCCTAGCCTATCAAGGACGCACTCCCTCCCCGCCGGAACCAGCACCACCTACACATTCTCCGATGCCGGATGCTCGTCTCCCGGACCTTACCCTCGACCTTCGGCCTTGGGAAGCCTGCACTCTGCCAACGCCTCCTCGCTATCCCTGGGGATGAATGGCCGCGTCCGCCCCGGCCGCAAGAAGAAGAAGCGCGTCGTCAACCTCCGTCGACCCAAGCCCGAGGGCACCGACGACTCGTCGTCCGTCGTCACCGGCGATACTATATCCGACACCACATCCATGGCCAACGACGGGCCCCTGTCGGAACCCCTATCCACGGACTCCTCTATACCCGAGGAACCCGAGCTCGAGGCCGCGCTCTCGGACATTGTCGCCTCCAACAGCAGCCATGTTCGCTTCCCCCGTGACGGCAACAAGTCTGTTCCGCACCACCAGCTTATGTCGGAGCTCAAGCTGGACTCTTCCCTGGACGAGAAAAACCCTGTCTCTGTCCCCGCCTCCGTCCCCGCCTCTGTCCCCGCCTCTGTCCCCGCCTCCGCTCCGACTTCGACCATTGCACCCGCTGCATCGGTGCCCATCTCGGAGAAGATGTCCGGCAAGGTGAAGCGGGGTAGCACCGGCAGCAGCGGCTCAGATACATCGTCCGTCATCCTTGAGCAGGCGTGGATCATGAAGATGGCCGGCGAGATCGCCCGACGCGCCTACGACGAGAAGAAGAAGGCCATGCCTGACCGTCCTGGCAGTGCATGGGACGAGCAAAGCGAGGCCCCGCCCGCGTACGAGGCTTCTACCTAGATCCGGGGTTTCATGATGTTCGATATTGAGAGTCCTCTTTTTCCAAGTGTCTCTCGATCCGAGGACAAAGAACAGTATGATAGAGGGCTTTCAGAGGAGCATGTACTCCCATCCTCTCCTTCTGGACCCCTTCGTATTTCTTTTGTTATTTCATATTGTCTTTTTCTTCACCCCCCCCCATCAGCGTGCGGCTTCTGATCTTTTATTACTCCATCATGAACGGCACGGAGTTCATTCTCTTGACTTATACACGACCTCACGTGGATCGAGGGAAGCATCGATATTGCACTTTTGTTATCTTACCGTTTGTTTCCAAGAGGAAAATCTTCCTCTTGAAAAAGGAGAAGAACAGACATTCATTCAAAACCGCAGGCCAGTCCCGGGAAGATGAGCAGTGGTGAGAACGGAGGAAGCCGTGTAAGAAGAGTAAGCGGGGGAGGTACAAGAAAAACGGTGGGGACTATCGTGCTTTATTTCTGGGAAACAAAAAACAGGTTAGAAGGGTCCGGGACTGGCGTATCAAGGGGAAACCAAAAGGCGTTTTGTTTTCTCTCTCTCTCTCTCTCTCAATTGTTGGAAAACAAGTTTTCTTTTTTGTTTCTCTTATGTATGGGAAGCGGTGCTCGCTTTCTTGCTATTGAACCAACTCCAATCTATGAATACATTGACGAATATTTCTGTGATGTGAGTGATTTGGTATGATGACCTCTGCTTTGGGAGCAAGAGGGGACATGAATGGATGTGAGAGTGTTTGGTGAGGATGATGGTGAGGATGATGATGATGGCGTGTACCGATCAGCCCCAATTCCTCCGACGCCCCTTGTTCTTGCGTGAGCTAGGCGTACGCAGAGGGAGGGTGTACGATGAGGAAGCAGGAGCAGGGACGGAGACGGAGGCTTCGCCGAAAGTGAAAGAGGGAGACACGGAGGAATCACATCCGACACGGCGGACATCGACCTCGATGGCGTCATGCCCGCCCCGGCCACCACGACTCTCCGTATCATCATTGCCGTCATCATCATGGTATTCCTCGTCATCAGAGGGTTCCGACTTGACGAATTGCCGGTGCCGGTGCTGGTGCTGCAGGCCCGATCGACGGCGGCCGTGCTAAGACTGAGACGCGGCGGCGGCGGCTGAAGCAGCAGCGGCGTTCTCGGCCTTGAGCTTGGCGAGCAGCTCCTCCTTCCGCTTGAGCTCCTCGAGGACCTTCCGGGTCCACTCCTCGGTGGCGACGGTGGCATCCTTGAGCTTCCTGACCTCTGCGGCCTCCGTCTCCCGGCTGAACGGCTGACCGGGTCGGTTGGTATTCGGAATCATGGCGGTGCGCTCCCACACGTCTCCCGAGTCCGGGGAGGGGAGGGGAGGGACGCGGGGCCCGGCACCCTTTGTCGTCGCCGCCGTCGCCGCCGCCGTCGACTTGCCCTTGCCGCCGATGGGGGTGGACGTCGAGGAGGAGGAGGTGGGGAGGGAGCCCCTGGGGACGGCGCCGGACGTGAGGACCCGGTAAAAGGCCGTGTAGGGCTCGTTGAAGAGCTGCTCCTCGTAGCTCCAGGAGCGCACCTCGCCGTTCTCCATGACCATCGAGGCCTTCTCCTCCTCCGTGCGGCCGAAGGGGTGCAGTCGTAGGTAGTGGTAGAGCGTCTGGGGCTTCTCGCCGGATTCGTTGACGTAGTATAGCTTTATGGCCACGTCGAACTCGCCCCATCCCGTGTCGCTGACGGCGAAGGGCCTGCCCTGCTCTGCTTCGATCACTGCCGTGGTGTGTTAGTCTCTCCCTCTTCCTCCTCACCCTCCTCGTCTTCTCTTCTTGTAATGAAACCTCAACAAAAGAAGAAGAAAGAAACTCACTCCTGACATGGTTTGGGATGGAGTCATGCAGCTTGAACTGTACCCTCCTCAGCCAGTACGTTATGTCCGTATCCTCCAGCCCCTTGACAAACACGGTCCAGGAGTGCGTGTGGCCCTCCGGCACACCCACAGGCTTCGGGTTGGCCTCGGAGAAGGGCACCGCCGTGCTGCCCACTATAAAGGGCCGGCGCACCTGCGTCAGCTTGACGCGCTTGCCTAGCTGGTTTGGTGGCGCCATCGCGCCGGGCCTGTCTCTGCCCTTGCCCTTGCTCTCGCTCTCGTTCTTTATGCGCCCCCCTCTTTCTGTTATCCTTGTCTTTCCTCCCTCTTGTCGAGTTGCGAGTGAGTCGTAGTCCTTGTCGGGAGATAGGATTGGCCAGATAGAGTGTGCTGGTGTTGGATGTGTTGCGCTGAATTGGGAAGATGAAGATGATGATGATGGGACGAATGGGCGTGTCGCCTAAATGCGACGGTCAATTCGTAGCATCGTCTCACGTAATAAACTCTTTCCCCGTAGGGTATTCTGTAGCTCTTCCCCCCCCCCTCTTCATTCCAACCCTTTTTCGGAACTTTTTCGTCTCCTCTCTCAGAGCCTAGGGGGGGGGGTGGGGCGCCGCTGACGTACACTCCCTTCACTGCATCCCACCTCCCACATTTAAAAAAAAAGGTGATATCAACTATAGAGTTGTTCTGAAAAGAGAAGAAAAACAGAAGAAAGGAGAAATGGATGAGAGAATTCATTCTATTATATTTTGGGGTGGAAAATCTCAATGTTCCCATGTGTGTTATAAGATTAAAGACTCCTCAAACTCCCGCCGTCCGGCATATAGTGTATAATTTCTCCCCTCGCCCCCCATCAAGAGGGACGGCCATGTTGCCGTTCACAGACAATATGATGTGTGTGTGTATCCAATATGTACTCCGAGTCCATGCAATAATGATTTCTTCTTCTTCTTCCTTGACCGTTTCCAGTTCGTGCCAGAACTACCAGATGAGCCCATAAAAATATAATCAAAAGTCGTCTCGTGAAGCCAGCCCTTCGTTCTTACAACTGGGCAATGTCGTTCATGATCTTGACCTCCTCGCCTGGCTTGAAGGGCGGTAGACCAATGTATGGGCAGCCGTCGCAGCGGAAGGCATCTCCCAGGCTGCAGTTGCCGCACGATCCCGTCTTTCCTTTGACGGTGAAGTCGAGTTCGTCGAACAGGTCGTCTGACTGCAGTTTCATCACGTCGAGGTCGGCCTTGGCCTTGTTCTGACGCTCCTCATCCTCCTTATTTATCCGTTCGGCGAGACCGCACGTGCAGTCCTTGCAGGCGCGACGGCGCTTTCCAGGCTTGGGCTGGCATTCGAGGGCTATGATGATGGAAGGAAATGTCAGTTCTTCTTCTTCTTTTCTTCTTCCTTCTCTCTCTTATCCAGATGGTTGAACATTGACCGCATGAGTGTTCAGACTTACGCTGCATGATGGGCCGTGTAAAGTCCTCGGCCGTCAAGAGGTCATTCTCGTCGACGAGTTCGTCGTCATCTCCAAAGTCGTCGTCGAGGTTGATCTGGACAGGGTTCGAGACGACGGGCGGTGCGGGTGCGGGTGCGGGTGCGGGTGCGACCGGTGCCTTTTTGACGGAGCCGTTGGCCTTTTTCTTCTTCCCACCCAGGCGCAGCGGCACGACGACCTGCTCCTCCGCCACTTTTTTGAAAGCACCGTCCTTCTCGACGAGACCGGCGAGGATGGCCTCGCGGGCATCCGCGACCGGGAGGGGGCCATCCTGCAGACGCAGCACGGCACCGGACTTCATCGAGGGTACGAGTGTGGAGTAGACGGAGCGGCTGAGGAGTTGGAGAGCCTCGCGGCGGCGCTCGCCGGTGACGTCCGTGAGCACGAGGATTTGGTCGTAGTGGTCAGCAGGCAGGGAGACGAGGCCGGAGCCTAGACGGTCGAGCATGTGCAGATCGGACGAGGAGCGGTCGTACGAGGAGAAGACGCGGCGTAGTTTTTCTTCGTGGGCGGCCAGGGACGGCGGAGCGAGGAGAAGGCTGCGCTTCTGAGGGACGGGCGACTTGGTGGGGGCCGCGGTGGCGACGAAGTCGTCCGACAAGTCCATCATGACGGGAGCGGGCGCCATTGTGCCTCTCGTCTCTGTCTGTGTCGACAGTCGGGGCGGCGTCTAGAGTTTCAATGCAGTCGAAAATGAAGAAGAAATCAGGGAAAGATGTTTTGTGTTGTTGAAAAGAGAGGTTGTGGGAACCAAAAAAAAAAAAAAAAGTTTTGGAAAAAAAAGGATTGAAACAAGAATGACGGGATGGCTCTAGAATTTGTGACCAACTAGAGGGGGGAGAACGAGGTTGCGGGGTGCTTTGCATTACAAACCCATGCTGATAACTCGGTAGCCACTCTAAGTACCTTTCTACGCAGTCCTCTCCTGGCCGACCTCGGCGGGGTACATTTGTCTGTTGGTCCTCCCTGTTGGCCCTCCTGTGGCCCGATCAGTGGGAGTGAACCCCTGAAGTGCGAGCCTAATTTGGGGGGGAGGGGGGAGGTGATAAATCTCATCTTGTCGGTGGCATCATCTCCGCCATTCCCCAGTCCTGAGGTTGTCTTCGACCTAGAGACAGAGC